CTCAGACAAACATGGGGCAGATTGACAGCTGGGCCGGGGCTGCTGCGAATGATTGATGGCGGCGTTCCATGGAGAGCGCGGCAGCCAGGGGCAGGAGAGATTTCAGGTTTTTGCGAAGCAGCGCGGTTTAGGTTCAGAAACATCGAGCTTCGGAGAACAGAACGTAACAGGATGTTACAATGGCTGACAATCAGGCATGCAGACGGAAAAAAAGTACAGCATCTTTAACGGCTCTCAAGAAAAAAAAAATCAAAATTCACAGAAATGGGACGCTTTCAGTTCACAGTTAAATGATATAAACACCCGCTCTTTCTTAGCACAGCACAAAGTCACACTTCATTCTCCACTCTCACACCTTCCTATCACCCCCAAAGGAACAAAGGTGCAAAAAGATTTGAAAAAAAGATGTAAAAAAAAAAAAACACACTACAGCAAAAAGAAACCTATTATGTGAATACCCAAAAGTATTTCTTATAGATATCCAATCCCTTTAGATGTCACTGATGTTATCTCTAATTAAACCCCACCAGCATACAGTGACACTGATACATGCATGAAAAACTAGTAATGACCCAGGCATGATGCTGTATGGCAAGCTGTAATGACGTATAATAGTGGAATTTAAACAATTAAGCCTTTTTTTTTATTTCTCTAGACTAAATCCCTCAGAGAGTTGACAACCTTAAAGGTATAGTGGGGGATTTTGCGAATGGACCCGTCTTCTCCACTTAAAAAGAAAATGCACATGCACAACCCTGTTCTCGCTTCTGAGGCAACGTCTCTTAAACGCTTGCAAGAGCATGCATGAGCCCATTTCTCTTTGTGCAGGCTCTATTTAAAAGTTGCTGTTTGCATTGCTCATACAACCTTTCTTTCCAAAAGACGATTTGCAATTTTTCCACTATCAGACTCAGCACCAGTAATTGAAAATGGGGACGAGCACGTAGGATGGCCTTACGTAAAGATATCATCAGAATGATTGACAGTTAGCAGGACCACTTATTTTTTTTATTATTTTTTTTAATTATAATTTTATATATATATCTTTTATATATATATATAAATAAAAATAAAACGTTTTCTCACCCCTTGCGGGGTGGTATGTGTCATCCTCAAGCTCGGGTCCTCTACCAGAGGCCTGGGAGTTTGAGGGTTCTGCACAGTATCTTAGCTGTTCCTAGGACTGCACTCTTCTGGACAGAGACCTCTGATGTTTTACCTGGAATCTGTTGTAGCCACTCTCCCAGTTTGGGGGTCACAGCCCCCAGTGCTCCAATTACTGCTGGCACCACTGCTGCTCTTACTTTCCACGTCTTTTCTAGCTCCTCTTTTAGCCCTTTGGTATTTCTCAATCTTCTTGTGTTCTTTCTTCTTGATGTTGCTGTCGCTTGGGATTGCCACATCTATCACTACTGCCTTCTTCTGCTGTTTGTCGATCAACACGATGTCTGGTTGGTTAGCCATCACCTGTTTGTCAGTCTGGATCTTGAAGTCCCATAGGATCTTAGCTAGGTCATTCTCAACTACCTTAGGAGGTGTCTTCCATTTTGACCGTGGGACTTCAAGCCCATACTCATACTCTCTCTCTCTCTCTCTATATATATATATATATATATATATATATATATATATAGATATATATCTATCTATATATATATATATATATATATATATATATATATATATATATATATATATATATATATATATATATATCTATATATATATATATATATATATATATATATATATAAAAGGACCAGAAAGAAAAGTGCTGCTTCGTTGCTTTTCCCTGAAACAGACTTCCAGCTGTAGCAACTTAAGTTAAGTTCTGAGATTCATCACTAGAATTCAGTTAATCATCTATGTTAAGGGTTTATTTGAATCTAATTACATCCGGAGGTTACCCCGCATTGACACAACATGAAACCTTGATAATTTGTATGGTATTCTGCTGGCCTTGTAATCTGGGAGAGCTCCTGCTGGTTTTACTCCCGCTGCCTTTCTCGTTGCCATTAAGTGCACTTCAGAGAATCTGCCTTTCATGGCCAGTTTTAAGATGTAAGTAGAATCAAGTATTAATTTTACATTTAGCATTTGATGCCATAAAATATGAAATTGAACAGGATGCATACAGTATGTAGTTATGGTTTCCTCAGAGTAATTAAAGAAAGCAGAAGCACTCTCGTAGGTTTAGACTTGCTCTGGAGTTTTGCAGTTGGAGTGTTAGGTAATTATAATTCTACAAGGTCATTAGAGCATTTTACATTTCTTTTTCTCATCAACAATATGTCAGGCCTGGTAACCTTTTAGTGCCGGGGCATATTTGTAACACAAAAGGGGATAACAGATAATTAAATCAGTTGTATTAATGACCATTGAACTAAAGGTGTGTAACACTGCATCTAATTGATGAAACACGATTAAGCACATGCTAATGACAAACTATTTTAAGGGAACCCCAAACTACTCTTAAGCAGTAACTGAAGCTATATTCTAAGTTGTACTTTAGTATTCTATGTTTGTATCTAAGAAGTTTTTATTCATTTAACAGCTTACATTCATCCACTGTAAATATAATACAGGCAATTATCGTAGCCACTCTTCAAAAAGGGGAAGACATGAAAACACATGATCACCCCACTCTTTGGATTAAAAATATGACACAGATGCAGATTATTTAGATATTTTACACATTAAAGATAGAAATACACACTGTCCTTTCCAGCTGTTCACATACAAGGGTGTTTGTCCAGGTTTGGTGGAGGTTGGTTGAGGACCCAATTGCAGAGATGAGTTCTTGCAGATTTAATCAAGGTTCCACAGGAAACAGAGGCAATAATCCGAAATCAAAATACAGAAAAGAAAAAAAACAGGAGACGACAGAGAGAAACACACACAGGGAGCCAAGTAACAGCAAAGCTACAATTGACAAGAAACCAGCATTGAGGAACTGCAGAGGTGGTGTATGTAAGGGGAACAAAGAATGGGCTAATGAGCTGATATGGAGCATGTGTGAATAGAACTATCTAGAAGGGGGCGAAGGGGAAAGGAACCAGGCACAAGGTGGCAACAAAGAGTAACTGCCTAAATATAAAACAAAATGGGAAAAAAAAACAATGAACAAGAAAATACAGAATAACATAACTCAAAGTAGAATTGAAAACTTAAAAGGAAACTCAAACAGAAGTCAACAAGAGGAGAACCATAACAATCATTTACCATAGTTACAGTGGTACATTTATAGTTGTTTTGCTATTGTAGTTTTGTTATTCATATAAAGAACAACGGAAGTTTTATTTATTATTTTTTTTTCGATATTAACTAGAGTGTTGGGACGCTTTTAAAAATTAATTTACCGGTAAGACACAACACATGAAATATCCCAATTTTGCATATAATTGTATAATCAAAACAATTTGTATATATAATGTTTTAATCAATGTGATGGGGTTTATTTCATTTACTAATCTATTTCCATAATTTTACTAATCTTCAAAAAGGCAAAGCAAGAATCATACCATCCATGTTTACTGTTCATGTATGTGCTTTCCTTTTTCCAGCTTGAATATTTTGCACATTTTGTAATGTATAGTTTACCTCTTTCAGTTGATCCAAAAAATAAAGAACCTTAGCTAGTGATTTATATATTTTATCTCTTCTTAAAGTTGGAAAAACAATAACACCTACTGTACCATCTCCTTTGCACTGTTTGTGCCCAGTCTATTCATTTAAACAGTAGACACCAGGCGATAAGCTTTTATCAAAATGGATATCAAGAATAAATTAAGGGAACCTCAAGTGTTATTTTAAGTATTTTAGATGGTATTTTAGATAGTCAGATGGCCAAGGAATGTTTAACTTGTAATTTCTGACTTTCCTTTTCTCTGGAGTATAGCTGTAACATGATATGGAGGCTCTCAGTCCTTCAGTTAAGTGAAAAAAGGAAAGTTATGACGGACTCAGGAATATGTGTTTTCAAGTTAGAAACTCTACAACATGAAAAAGTTTTAAACTTTTTCAAAGTAAGAATAATAAGAGGCTATTCAAGTTTTAACACAACATTTTTCCCTTTTTTCCCACAAAATTTTTTTAACACAACTTTCCCTATTATTTAAGCTTTAGACGTGTATACCCCCTTCTGTGTTCACCATTGGGCAGTGATTGTTAAAGACTTTGATACAAATAAAAACAGAACAACTCTAGCGATAGACTGTGGGCTAAATAAGAGTTTTAACATTTGACACACATGCACTCTGTTTCTCTTGCCTTTCCTCTCCTCATCCATCTATTCTTTATAACTGTCCCCTAAACAGGGTCAGTGTGAATAATTAAGTCCTCTTAGGATGAAATATTGACAACAAAGAGTGTGCCATATGCATTTAAGAAGTCTCCCTGCCTCTTGCGATGTCCTCGCATCATGAATCATGCATGACACCGAATGAATGTTTTTTTCCGCCAAGTTAGGCTGCGAGAACCACTGCTGTGAACCGCTCCCTCAGGGAAGACTGCTAATCCTTTGCAGGGAAAGCCAATCATTGCTCCTATTTAGCAGTTGGTGATTTACTTTGAAATAATTACAGCTTGAAAGTCTGTGTTTGTGGAGGTCACAGAGACGGGCTCAGTAGTTTTACTTTTTTTTAGTTTTCTTGTTGTTTGATTGAAAGTTTAGAGATATTACCTGCCCTGAATTCTAATGATTAAAGGTGGGATTATTTCAAAGTCATCAGAAAAGAGCTACTTGCTGCCATGTTTTTTTTTTTTTTCTGGGTGTTTTTGCTGTGTTAATGAATCATGTAAAAATGTTTGTATCTCTGCCATATTAAATAACTTCAGACCAATATAAATTCTTGCTCTTATTCCAGCTTTTGTTTGATCTGATATTTATTACTCATACTATCTTGGCACATTAATAAAACAATCAAAAAAGTCAAGTTGGTGCATTACATTGCGGGTCATTCAATAAGCTCTCTAATTTCATTAATCTTTCTACTTTTCAGACTACCGTCCACCTCTCCTGCTTCCGCCAAGCCGTGCCACCACCACACGTTCCCCTCCCTACTACACCACCCCAAGGCCTCTCCTGACCACCTCCCCTGTCCAACGGTACAGAACAACTACCACAGTCCGCCAGCCCTTGCTTGTCCCTGCGGGACCGTCATCTGTCAATCACATTCCAGAAGGCCCTCCGAAAGTTGTCAGATTCCCTCCAGCACTAGTCCCACCAGTGGCACCACAGCCCCCCGCCCTGCCTCCACAGGACTTCTGCAGTCCGAGGGTGGCCGCAGACATATCATGGCCACGGACGCAGCAAGGCCAGACGGCCAAGCAGCCCTGCCCTGTGGGAACCCTGGGTAAGTAGGGTGGGTTTGTAGACTAGGAAGTAGAGCCTTAAGACAACATTATGAAAAACTCTTTGTTTTTGCAATGTTTGTGTTGTTTAAAAGTTATAATGCTTTGTATTTTATAGCTGAAGGTACTATTATTCAGGAGACAAAACTATCCAAGAATGGTATAATTTTTGGACATTTAGCAAACATCATGAAAAAAAGGGAAATAACTTTTGACTTTACTGCTAAGAGATGAGGGAACCAAATTCTACTCTTCAGATCTCCAGTTGCTGTGTTTCCATCCAAATATCATGCAAACAACAAAAATGTTGAAAAAAAGAAAATGCATATTGGAAATGTAAACATCTATTGGAGCAAGTTAACCAGGCAACACATTCTCACTCCCAACTCATCACATATTGATGCTTGGTTAAATTCAGCATGTGACAAGCAGGGGGTACTCCTCACATTAGTATTTGACCTGCAGGGTAAATGACAGGTTGTAGACAGTGTATCACAAGCTTAGCCCACAAAGTTACTTTGTTAGCTTTATGTATACCGCTGTCTCTTTAGGTTTCAGGGGTTAGGTAGGTGTAAGGAATGCGTTAGTGGTAAGTTTTTACTTCAGGGCTCATGGAAAAATTTGGGGAAGTTCCTGCTACTGCCTGTCATGAACCTGGTGTGTCAGTTACTGACGAGGGGGTATGCTCCTCACTATCTGACACGCAAAGGGCTTGACCAATTTTTATTATATGACGAGTTGGGAGTGAAAATATATTGAATCAGGCGTTGCAAAGCATAATGTCGTCATGATTAAGTTATGTTTGGCTGTAATAAACAAAAGATACCAGCTAACTAGCACAGCCACAGATTAATAATGGTAAAAGAACACTGTAAAAGTGAGTCCCAACAGAAACAGAGCTGAAAAATCTGCCTTGAAAGGTCTGCCTTGCAATGTCCCTTGTGGATCATCAACATTTTTGTTTTTGAGATCTGAGGAATCTATTATTACCCATATATCAATAATTCAATTAATTACCCCTGTATTGAAAGTTCTTCACTACTCAGACACCCGTTGTTGAACCCGTTGCTGCAGAGCACACTTTGCAGTGTAAATTCTAGAATAAATTTCAGTTCTGATACTGCATATGTCATGTGCTGTAAACAGGTCAGGTGTATTTCCCCCTTTAGCAAGTTTCTCAATTTAAACTGACTTATAAGGGTAAATGATTTCACCCTTTTCATAAAGAAGGGTCAGAGTAAAGATGGTTAAATTCAAATGCTGTTGCACACATTTCAAATTTTTATATATTATCTATTTATATCTCTTTACCAAACCCAGCCAAACACTGCAAACCCCAAACAAGCCAGGAGGTTCTCCTGTCTTTTGCAGAATGTCATTGTTGTTTAACCTTCTTTGCTCCTTGTTGTCTTACAGGTGTGGCCACATACGTTTGCATGCCCCACTTGGGCTACTGGGACCCTAAAGGTCCTGACCTCAGCAACTGCACATCACCATGGGTCAACCACATCATGCAGAAAGTAAGTCTGAAAGCTGGCACTGGCTGATGACCCCTTAGTGATGTGAATGCATTTGTTATGATTAAAACCCCGGAGCAGGTTTTCTCCCCCATGCAGAAGCAACGACCACAGGGAAAGATTAAGGCTATGTATCTCTTCGTCATTCTTTAACTCTAACTTTTGTTTGAGATCTGAGAGATCACATAGCTTCAGGGAACAAGACATGCCTAATGAGGTCAAGAATTCACATTAGGATCATATCAGAAGAGACAATTAGATAAAGATTTGCTAATTGTATTAATTCACTGTTGCTTGAAAAACATTAAAGCTATGTTTCACGCCTCAAAATGTACTTGCAACGAAGAGATTAATCCTTTACTTATTTGGCAAGAAAAATAAGCTTAAAGTCACAATTAAACTTAAAAAAGACATATACCTGTGTAACACTTTAAGAGAGGGAAGCCAGTTTTAGGTATTGCCTTAGAAAAAAAACAAAGAACAGTCCATCCATCTTCTCCCGCTCATTCCATCAGGGCCATTGAGGGGCCGGTGCCTATCTCCAGCAGTCTATGAGCGAAAGGCTAGGTACACCCTGGACAGGTTGCCAGTCTGTCGCACGGCAACACTGAGTCGCACAGAGACATACAACCTTTCAAACACAGGGCTAAAGCACATTCAGTTTTAAGATAATCACCAATATGTTGCAGAGAGTTTAGAACAACACAATGGTGGCCATTAAAAAAAAAAAAACATAAATCTAGAAATATTAGACTTGAAAAGCATACAATTTGATCTGGAAATGTTCAAGAACTCTGTATTATAGTTTTCTTTCTGTATAATGATGCATATGATGCATAAAGTGACACAGTTTTCTAAAGAAAATGTGCAGTTCAGTGTGCGTGTGCTGGAACTGAATATTTCCCTCTTTGTGAGGCTTTCACCAAGTTTTGAGTGAATTTTAAGCTGACCTTTCACATTTCTTTATCTTCCTCCCCTTCACCCATCACCTTCATTCCCTCACATTTATGTCTCCCTCTTCCTGTCCGTCCTCTTCTGCCTTGTTAATCTCCATCTGTCATTTTAATGCAACTTTCCTCTCTCTCTTGCTATTCACTTGACACTCTTACACTTATTCTTTTGCCAAACTTTTTCCTACTTGCCTGGCATAACTTTTTCCTGCCATCCATCTCTCTGTTACTTTTCACTTTGTGCTCCCCCACCAACTTCCATCTGTGTCCTGTAGCTTCGTTCAGGCGAGACGGCAGCTATTGTGGCCAGGGAGCTGGCAGAGCAGACCAAAGGACTTCTGCGTCCTGGAGATGTGCCATCCACAGTGCGCGCCATGGCCCAGCTAGTCGAACTCTTGGATGTCCAACTCAGGAATCTCACCCCCGGAGGCAAGGATAGTGCTGCCCGCAGCCTCACTAAGGTACAGTACTGCCTTAAGACACATAAGGTGAATGTGTGCAGAGTGATGGAGTGAAGCAGACTTTCCTACCGGCATCAGCATTTATTGGGCTGCAACTCAAAGTGACAGGAAATCAGAAGAAATATGGAGGAGTAAGAAAAAGGAAATAGATAGGGGAGGGGGGTCCCTTTGAGTTAACAGAAAGATGAATAGCATGCTCTTTTGTTTTTGTCTTAAAATACCTCTTTGTGCAGAGTTTGATGAAGAAGCACGCATAACAATGTGGAGCTCCACATGATAAATAACTGCTTTTAGAGTTTCTGTTTCATCCTTTTCCCTGTGTGGCTCTTCGTAACAAGTTTTGCTCAGCATAACAGGAGACAGATAACTGCTTTTAGTCTCTGGCATGGTCCTTCCACTCTCTTTAAAGATCAGGACCAACATTTAATAAAGCTCTCTTTCAGTTATTCACATTTATTGTAGACAGCTTGGCCCTCAGAGATAATTTACATAGAGCTGGGTGATTAATCCATTTTATGTTTATGAAGATATCAGTCGGAGAAAATCTGGATTTGTTTTCCACCAATGCACTCCCTGGGCTTCTGTAGCTCCAACTGACATCACTTTATCACCTTTTTGTTCTTAGATGTCTACTCATAACTGATAAAGTAGCGCCCTGTGTAATACTACTAGCTGTAAACATTAAATATGTTACTTTTTTAATTGTTTCTCAGCTTGAATTTAGTTGCTCTTATATTAAGGTCACCTTCCAGAGGAGATGACTAAAATAAAAGCTAGTTTTTGAAAGTAATGTACTGCACACCTATGTAATTTAGGGCTGCAACGAAAGATTACTTTGCAAATTTATTAACCGTTGATTATTTTCTTGATTAATCGATTAATAATCGGATAGCCAAAGGTTTCTTAAACAATCATTTTTACAAAAGTAAATCAGGTGAAGCTAAATCTTTTCCACTTGAGGAGTTCTGGGTAGAGCATATTGACAGACAAAAACATTTTTTTTTTTTTTTCTTAAATCCTAAATCTTTGCCTTTTTTTTTTGTTTTTTTTTTTTTTTTTTACAATTTTCACATAATTACTGCTCTAAGTGGGTCACTTTGTCAGCTAAAGGCATGATTTATAGTCTCTATTCCACTTTAAAAAAATAAATTGCTTACTAAATTAGTTGATAATTATTTCAATAATTGATTAATCATGATTAATCGGATTAATTGTTTCAGCCCTAATGTAATTTGTCACTTTTTAAATGAAATTTAATGGGGGAATAAAAATGAATTGGATTTTGTTGGAAAATAACCTGAATATATATTTTAAAGGTAAATAACATTATCTCCTATCCCCTTAACATCTTACACTGTATCCCTATCTTAGCTCCCTTTCTGTCTCCATGTCCCTAAATCTTTTTTCAATAAAGTTACCAAGCGGGACCTTATGGCAACAACCATAATGGTCTGCTTGTGAAAGCAAATCTGTTGGACTACTATCTAGCTCTTTAACATTGATTCCTATTGCTTTTTTGGCAAAACAGGGCAAAAATCATCTCCTAGTCCTAATATACAGCTTAGGTCATTTAATGAACCTCCATCTTTGAGCAGAAGCAACACTATTTACAGGCAGTAGTCACTTTAAAGTGAGTCACCTTTTACAATCACTATTAAGATAAATTCTGTTCCAGTAAAGGTAATTATGAAGTAAAGTGGTGCATCAAACCAGACCCATTCAAAGGTTTGCTTCACACAATGATCTCGGGATTCATTAAAAGAAACGTCTTAAAAAGATCAACTTCATTGTAAAATATATATCTTGTGAGTTTGGGTACAACAATGATTAATGATTGATGCAATGATGATGAACAAACGATTCAAGAAAGTCCTCCAGGTGCTTAATTAATTAAGATGTCTTTTAATTGTTACGTATTACCAAAATTCAGTTGAAATCAGGCAAGTCTCTTTTATTCCTTTTACATGCTGATGATTATGACTTACATTTTGTAAAAAAAAGTACATCAAAAAGTTTGGATGAGTTAGAGCTGCTGCTCCAATCAAAGTTTCAAGAGCAACCGCACACAGATAGATCCAGGAAATGAGTTATAACCATAGCATTGCCTCTAATAATTAACTTCTAAAGAAGAGCATATGTAGGAAGTATATGTCATGAGATATATGAGCTATGAAGCTATGAAACTCATTATAATACTGTAAATATAAATTTTTTTGAAGTCCATCATTGTTTGAAATAATCTAAAAAATATTCGTTTTAATTCTTCTTTCACTTACTCAATTAAATTACCATTTTAATGTTATTCTAATTTAGTGACATGCATTCATATAAACACACCCTGTCAGTACTGCTCTCACTGAGCTGCTGGTTTCTGGATGTTTCTTCTTAGTTAAGTAGATTTTATTTGGTGTTAATTCTCAAACAACCCTCCGATTTTAATATTGTGGTTTGCTATCCTATTATCTTAATCCAAGCATTCGTTTCTGCTATCTAAATCTGTCAGAAGGGCAACAAAACTTTTTTCTCCAGTAGACTTCTATTTATATTTCCTATTTTGTCTACAGGTCTCACAAACTTAATTACCTTTGTCATCTGTAGTGTTGCTAATAACATTGTAATGTTAAAGAAAAACTTATATTTAATCAGCAGTAAAAAATAGTTGTAGAAACACTTGTTGTAGAAGTAAGCTTACTTTGAATAAAACGAATTTAGACTTCCATATATGATTATATAAACATCTTAAAATCATTAAAAGTAACAAAGGTTTGGATTCTTCCTATTCAGCCTGGAGAGTGACCCAAACATAGCAGATCTCAGTAAGTTTCTGTCCAGAACCTGAAAGAGGGTTATATTGTTGGTGACGTAAAATCACATCTTAGTTCAGAATCTAAGGTAAATTGAATAAAACATTAACAGCTTTGCTAGGATGTGTTTACAGACCAAAGTTAAACCTTTTTTTTATTATTAATTATTGGATGTGATAGACATGAAAGAAGGCAGTCAAGTTAAAAATTGCACTCTTCCAGTCACCTGCATTTCAACACCTACCATATTCTCTCATATAAAAATATGCCCTCCATAGAAACGTAAAAGCAATATCCAATAACTAACTGAATGATATATTTTTAGGTATCCTATTAAGGTCAGAAAACTGAGAGTGATCAGTCAAATATGAAGGACTATAATTAATGACATCAGTTCAGTTAAGTAGATAGAGAGATCAAGTCAATATGGAAGGAAAAGAACGAACCTGAAATTAACCTTTTTTTTGTGCTCACTCCTTATAAATGAGTGTAACTTCTTTTGAATGTGTGTTTGATAACTGAGAGGTGCTACTCTGTTAACTGAATTGTTTGAATTTGCAGCTTCAGAAGAGAGAAAGGTCCTGCAGGTTTTTCACACAGGTATTTCCGCTTCCTGCGTTGGTTGATTACTTTGTAACACTGTTGTCCCTTGTGCCTGTGTGTTGTGTCTTGTTAAATATTTTTCTCCCACTTTTAATTTGCAGCATGTTAACTGCCAAGCAAGTTTGTGTGCTTTTGCTTGTTTGTGTATGAATACACACAACCCAGAAACGTTTTAATTCACTACAGCTTCTAATGATCCACCAATCTGACTTTTATTGCAGATTTCTCCCCTCTAGTTTTTACCAGTTATGATTTATTTTTACGTTTTAAGTATATCTAAAAGCACCTCTGGTATAAAAATCTCTAGCAGCTGCTATTAAAACAATTTTTTAAATGAAAAACACTCTAATGAATTGATCTAACAAACGTGTTCATTTCAACCTGAAATCAGAATTTACATATGTCCAATTTTCAAAAAAGAATGGGAGTGATTTGCTTTTGTTTAATGCCAAAATATTGCGCGTGCTCATTAATATTGTAAATGGATTTCTTGAATAAATACTTTGCCATATAGCAGAATAAAGTAATATTCACTTAAGTGTGTAATTAGAAGGCAGTCAATTGTTATTAGATGTTGCTCTAACTACTGAAAATAGAATAACAGCCATCATAGCTTATTTCCTTAAGAACTTGATATAAAATGTTGAAAAAATAATACTTAATACAAATTATCTGCTTTTGATAAGAGGTTAAATGCTGTAAAATAAAAATAAAAACATAACACTTTATTGTGTATAAATGGTCAACACAGTTAGCTTTGTTGGCATTACTATGTGTCATTAGCAGTCAGTTTGTTTCATCAAGACAATGTGGATTGCAAATATTTAAAAAAATCAAGCCGCTTTAAAGAAAGAGGATAACTTTCAAATCAAAAACTAAAGTAACCTTAAGATTTGATTTAGACCTTCTTAATCTTTTCTAAACTTGTATCTCTTTTAAATATGTTAGTCGGAGTTGACCTCTAAAATGTCTCATTAGGAAACACTTTGCGCTTCTTGCACATTTTGATATTCTTCGTACACCATTCAAAGAATCTCACTGTACTGAAAATACACAAATCTTCTACCTTCATCACTAAGATTGGTCTGGTTGGTCTGTTCCAGTTGAAAATGACCAGATTCTTGTAGAAAAGCTGATTACTTTGTTGATCTCAGATATTTTTGCAACCGAACCCTTTAAGATGCAAACGCTTATTCTGGTCTGCATCTCTACTTTTCATCAGAGTCTATAATCACACCATGTATCAAACTGGGCCTTTATTGGGTGTATTACTCTTTGGTTTTTAATTTTTTTTCCAAATATGAAATCCATTCCTGATAAGAAGCCATGATTAATATCAATAATAGCTCATCTCGGTTGCATGTTATTTCTGCAGAATTGTAAACAGGCTTGTCTGAAATCAAATAACTGGTTATCCATCTCCATTTATTGAAATGCCCTGTGTGTAGCTTCTTCGTAGAGAAGCAGCGGAACATGATGGATACCCTGTTGCATGTGGCTTAATCAAAGACTTGCTGTGTTAAAAATAATACTGTCCTGTTTTGTGACTCAGTATTAATTACACTTTGTCCTTGTTGATGTGCGTACATCAGTGTTTGTTTGTGTTGACGCCATGGGCTCATGCTGCTAACAGAAAACCTAACATCTACCAGGCATGTATCTGGTCAGCTAAAAAAAAAAAATAAAAATTCAGTGGATCAAAGGAGCCAAGCATCCTCATGCATGTGCTGTAGATGGAGTTTTCTCTCTCTTCACCCCGCAATACACACAGACAAAACACACACATAGACTAAGACACACGGTAGATGGTGTTGCTCTTTTTTTCTCCTGATGCAGGCTTTTTTTTCCCCCACACTCCCCTGAAAAGTCTTTACGTCAGCACCAGTCAGCAATGTCACATCATAGAACATGGCTTAGGAGTATATGCAAGCTGACACCCCCACCCCCCACACACATTCACAATTCACATCCTACAAATATTTAAATATATTTTCAACAATAATCTTTTGCTGTCACATCACAACAGTCAGGCGTTTGTAATGCGTCCCCTTAAGCCAAATAAGGCTGGATTTCAGGGGGAAAAGACAACATGCACGCCGCTTTGCACAGGTCTATATCCAAATGTTAGTGTGCACGCCTCGGGTACCACAAGAGGAGGCCTGTGAGTGATCGATTATATGATTAGCCCTGGTTATGTGAAACAAAATTATACCAACAGGCTCTTTACTCTGCCAGATAGAAATGTGCATGATTAGGGATGTGGTGTGGCACTGCCCTCTCCTCGTTAATTATCCGCAGCACTAATTGCCAAGTGAGGAGAGTGTGCAGGAGGTCTACATTCTTAATAGAGACAAAAAATAATTGAATTCTCTTCCCTCCTTTGCTTCCTCTCTCTTTCTCGGTTTCTCTCCACTCCTCACACTTCATCCACCCCTCCCCAGTCATTTGGTTTTTGGTTACTAGGGACTCGTTTCATGTATTCTAAATTGGCAATTTACCCATGATGAAGTTGGTGGTGTGGAGAGGCTTTGATGCTTTAGGGTGCGCTGAAAGAGGGAGGTAGTGTGCTTGGTGAAAGGAAGGAGAAACAAAGAGCAGATCATGGATTTGAAACTTCAGAAAACAACAAAAAAGAAGAAGTGGATTGTTAAAGAAACAATAATTAGTTAGTGAGAAGATCCTTGAAAGAATAACCTTGGAAATAATCTCTTTTTTTAAGAGTCAAAAATATTTTTTACAAACACTAATAATCCATTTTTTGTTGTTTTCGAGTTATTGTTGCCAAGATCTCAAACTGCTCTGCTTATCTAAAATAAAACAGCAAAAATCTTTGTTGCAATGTATGACAACATCTGATACAAATGTTTTATTTGTGTACAGCCTTTTAATCCTATGTAAACGACAGACAGAGCTTAATTGGTTTTGCCTGCCAGCTAAGTTCATTAAAGCTAGTCCAAAAGAAAAAGCTGATGAAAGTAAGAAGAGTTCTTATTCCAGAGTACCGAGTTTTACCATCTAAACCTTGTAGTGGTGGTCTCTACAGCCAGATTCCTTTTTAATAAGTCTTTCTATCAATACACCCAGCTATCACAAAACCTTCTGTCCTCACATTTTAAACTAAAAGTTTCAGATATACCTACAACAGAGAGCGAACTTCAGGCATTCCCCGGCACATTCAAGACTCATAATAACAGCTTAGACCTATATTGTCAGATGAAGTCTGAAACGCATTTTGCAAGACAAATTTGATGAGCAGTCTGAAAAGTCTGTAAAAATTCCCTACAGCAAATAGGAGATGAAAACTCTCCTTCCAAGCCATTTTTCTCACACGTTTTCTCAGCACAGCCATGAGACTTAAGAAAATAGAAAGATCCTTCTTCTTTTCTCTGCATATTTCTCACATCCCAGCTCCGTTGGTTTTACACAGTGCTGCATACTGTACATGTGCTTGAGTGTGTGCCCGTGTTCACCTTGGGTGGTTGGGAGTAGTCAACCAGCCCAGTTCTAGTCTGCCTTGCCGCTGCTGTTTACGCTGGATTACCCCAACGCTTCAAAGCATTTCACTTCTGCCCCATTTACTGTCATCGGGCTGTGTGTATGTGTTCACAAATGTGCATGCTATTCCTGAATTTCGTGGTCTCACTAAGAAACACACACTTCCAAACTCACACCCCTTATCTGTCTTTGCAGAGACATTCCCCCTCTTTGAAGAACCCCTAAAAACCCCTTAGTCTCTTTTTACCCACAGTCTTCGTACTTCATGCGCGAAAGAAATGTCACCGACAGCACCAGAGCTGCCAGACACACTCAGACACAGTGCCACACAGACACATATATTCTTTCTACTGAAAGACTGAGATGTCTAACCCTTCAAGGAAATTGCATCCTTTTCTCTTTTTTACCTAAATCCCTGCTTTTACAGACATAATATCCGTGTCGATGAAAGAAATTTCAGTGGGATATTATTATTTATATTTTTTTATTGAATAAATATAGTCAAAAGTTCAATAAGAAACAATGGGATGTTAATGAGAGTAGAAAAGCTGTATTATCGCAAACGCATCAAAGTCAGCGTTTTGCGAGCAGTATGCGCCAGCAGCATGAGCAAGTGGAATGCAGCTCCATAGCTGCCATATCTGCTTGCCCAAAGTAAAGAACATCCTCCCCTTGATCTCTTTCCTTTGCCTGGGCAGCTACTGTACAGCAAGTGGAGCAGAATGATGCACCACACTGCTTCCTCTTAGCCCCCAGTCCACACCCCCAATTTCTAACACAGACACACATAAATCACCACAGGCACAAATACATCCCAACCCTGTTCGGTGCATGCCACACAGCTCCATTTCAAACTGCAGATAATGCTCTGACAGCATGATGCAACTCAAACAACAGTCATGATGAAGACATGTAAAAGACATGGACATGAAATACTAAAAGCAGTCAAGAATAATCACTGTGATTAAAAATTAAAACAGTTGAATCAACTAAAACAAGATTAGCATGGACAAAAAGGAATAAAAAATGTAAAACTCAAGAATAGCCCCAGGGAAAAAAATGGGATGAGCTGCAGAAGGTTCAGCAGGGTTCCACAAATGGTTATATGTGAAAGGACCTTTGGGGTTAGGGTTACCTTAATATCAGAATGCAATTACTCAAATATCCTTTATTACAATCATTTATTGCGACTAAAAGAAAAGGTCATCCACTTAAAAAAACAGAATTTGTCGATATGCATAAAGGGTTTTTTTTTAATTCACTAAGCATATAAAATATTCTCAACAGTTGTTTTAAAGCCTCTCTCTGACCGTATTTTCATTGTAGCCATAAATACACTCCTAGCATACTTTACCTGTCTTCTGGGCATAGTTGGTTGGGCACTAATTTGGTAGCTTTTTTGGCCCCAAGCAGTCCTTTGAGAATCACAATTTATCAGGGTTCAAGTGAATTAAGTACAAAGCATTGGAAAGGCTATAGCAAGGTCCTAATGCTAATTTCCATACACAAAAAATAGTTTTTATTTGCTGATAATCCACATTAATTCAAAGGTTAGAGGTGAGCCACCACACCACTAGGAAAGCAACCCCACTGAATCCTACCACTATTACACTTAACTCTTGGTACATTTACTGTATTTATGTTTGTAATAAACATTTTTTTTAGTTTTCAACTCACCTCTTTCAGTATCAGAACATAAATGTCTCAGAAGGCATTTGGTCTGAACATGTGGGCACCACATAGTTATAGTCAAGCTTGAAGGCTTTGCTTTTAAAAGCAGGGGCTTGTATCTTTTCAGTCGAAGGTCGTTTAAAACCTGTTACACTTTTAGCTATGAGAGTGACATTCCAGTCTTTCCAGCGCATGGTAAGCCTGAGCTCAGGGTTATTATTTATACTTATGGTACACACAGTTATATTAAGGAGATGTTCTGTAGAATTGGCTCCACAAAAACATTCAGAATTGTTCTTTCAACATAAGATAAGATCCTGGAACTCTTCCATTAGTCTTTTTTGGACGATACGTTAACAACAGGAGACTACACACCGCACGTATCCCTATAGTGTCTAATTATACTAGGCAAATACATCTGACCCATGGTTCCTAAATTCTGACCTTCTGTGAATTGGATGAAATCTCATCTTTGCTACTCAAAATTTCTATTTGTGCTATCGGTATCACAAATATAAAGATGAAATATAAAACACTACATGCCGATGTACCTTATTGCAAATTACATTTTGTCATAAGCTTAAACTTTTACCTTGCTCTCAGTTATAGAAAAGTGTCTTTTGTTACTAAAGCATTACAAGTAACAAAGGCCTCCTATAAGAGCCAAAGAAACATATTCAACAGACACAGAACTACTGTCTGCTCAGGAAAAGTGCTGAAAGCAATTATATTCACTGACATCAAATGTAATGGCACAAAACCTGTCAGCAGCAGACTGTGAGTGAATGCTTGAAGTAATATTTATCGTTAAATCAATGAGAAAAACATGTAGAGAGTTTTTGTGCAAATTGTTTGCCTTCACTTTACCCATGGATGAGTACAAACAGTGCTGAGATGCTATGAAGCTTTCAGAGAAGATATTAGACTTAAGCTAAGCTTCAATCTAAGGGGGGCAATAAAGATGAAAGGTTTCTCCAGGTTAATTTCATTGGAAACCCTTACAGAGAGACTTAAAAAGAAAAAAATAATAATTAATCCTTTTTCCTTTCTTTTTAGAAAATTTAACTAGAAATTATACACTTTCAGTTTTACATTTGCAGCACACGTATATCATTATACATGTATTTAAACAAAAGAGAATGCTATTTCTTCATGTTTATTTGAGTCAAAGGTGGTTGAGCAATTAATTTATGATTAGGCCCTGCAATGAACTTGCATGAATTAACCATTCAGTCGGATGTCGGTTAGTGGTGAGCTAACAAACAAACCTTAATTGCTAGTTAAACAAATGTAGCCCCATCAAAAGTGTTACAGTTGAGGGAATTCACCCCCGTGAAATACCAGGGTGCAGGAAATGGGGAACAATGTTAGAACTAGATTCAAAGCTGACAGAGAACAAAGAAAACCTTGGAAAACATGTTTATTTTATATTGTCTAAACAAAAACTAAGCTGGTGTTATTGTAGTAGGAGCCAAATGTCAACAAATTGTATGGAGAAAAAGAACACATTTCAAAAGAACACCAGGATATCTCCCACAATGAAAATGAAACATCAACATAAAAACGATGACACCCAAACAGACACACTCCTAAAAAAAATCACAGTAATTTTGTTGGTACTTTGCTGACAAAACCAAACAGATTTTAGCTGCAATAAACTCGAAACTTCCTTTAAAAGGGCTCAGAAGCCTGCGACTGTCTGTCACAATGTTGACAGGATGTTGATAGAAACACGTTTGCACGAGTGCTGAACATCCACTGCTGCTTATTTCTGGCTGTTTGCTGAAGAAGTGGATTAATTAGTTTTTGTTTACATGTTACCCTCCCAAACTCATCCTGTATGCATCCCTACTAATTAGCTGCTAGCGCTGAAAGAGGACATAATATTATCATATTAGCTTGTTGGGACTAGTTTTGTCTGTGTGTGTGTCTGAAATATACAGTATTTACTTGTAGATATAGCTTTTTGCTAAATAACCTGAATTTATCATTAGTCTCTTTTAAATTGCTTACAGTACTTTGAAAAAGTATCCATAGCCAGTGAACCACAATATATTTTAGGGGGTCTTATGCTTATGGGCGAGAACAACACAAGCTAGTACTGTGTTTCAGAAGAAATACAATTTTATACTCCATTACTCTTTTATTTTTATTTCATGGGAGTTTAGAACAAGTGTTTGCCTCATATTTTAGAAATTACTTAAATTTCCGTTTACTTACTTTCTTTAAGTCTGTCACACAAAAAAACATTTGTCCCTACAGCCACAACTGGAAATGTTAAAAAGGTATTAATTGTTTTGTAAGAAATCTCATCCATAAAATTTCACACCAATTGCTGCAGATGCTTGTTTCTTATTTACTCTTCAAACTGGTTGACAGGGATCAGGACTAACCCAATTGCTGGGTGTGTAAATGGCAATAAACAAATTTTTCTCATCCCTCTTCTTTGCCCTTGTCAATTCCCTACCAGAGATACCTTTAGCTTCTTTAAAAGCAGCGACGTTACATTTTTTCGCTTTCTTACTGTCCTGCCTCTAAAAAAACGAAGTAAAGATGAGCAGTGTGTCTGCATGACGGCTGGTTTACAGATCAAGCGAAAATAAGGAGACAAAGGGGATTGTGAGATGTGTGTGTTTGATAGCACCTGTATTCGCTTTTCCGCCTCTTGCGCTCCCAGTGGACGCCTGTCACCATGGACTCACTGGACTGTTTTATCGCTCTCCCATGGCTCTTCCCATCTTTCCCCCCTGTCCCTCCCTCTGCACCAGCTCTCCTTTCTCTCTGTCTCTTTATCTCTCCCTGGGCCTTCCTGAGTTGTATGTATGTGACTGTGTGTGGGTGTGTGTGCATTGATGTTTATGCAGGAAAAGCAAGAGATGACTCCTTAAGGGCATAAGGAAATGTAAAAAGGTATTATAGTGGAGAACAGTTCATTTATGGCAGGTTGTTATAAAATCTTTGAATATAGAACTACATCGCAGTGTTGGATTCAAACCAAAAAACTGTAAATGCGATAAAACATTCATTTCTTTCCCACACCCACTATAGAAATTGTTCCAAGTGTTCGATGGGACTGTGGTTTAAAAGGAAAAGCTGAAGCAGGTTTTAGGGTGTCGAAACATGGTGATTGCAATCAACTAACAAGCTTGATTTTCAAAACATCTGTGATTATCCACATATAAAGAGAAAAAATGAGTGAGTGCTAAAAATCAGCTTTTTTTATACAACAATTTAGCTTTCTTGTTTTTCATGTCTGCATGGGAATGCCACATTTGCATCGCTACCATTATGTTGTCCTGATTGCCATAATTTATCAACTTGATAAAGCTACTGCATTCTCATGGCTCCTGGCTTCAGTAGTTGGGGGTGTAGCAGCGCTGCTTGTGCTATAAATGTATTTGCATTCGTTTTTTTACGTGGAGCATGACTGACTGGAAGTGGTGAAGGAGTCAGCTCCAGCTATGTGACCTCTGTGTCTTTATTGCTCCCCCAGGCAATGGTTGAGACGGTAAATAATTTGTTGCATCCAAGAGCTCAGGCCGCATGGAAAGAGCTGCCTACCAGTGAGCAGCTGCACTCAGCCACTCTGCTCCTCGACACCGTGGAAACGGGCGCTTTCATGTTGGCCGACAACCTCCTGAAGACAGACACGGTGCAGGAAACCACCGACTACATCCGTAAGTACATCTCACAGTTCCTTCCCAGCAAACATTTCACAGTTGGAGTTATTTGGAAACTCAACCGTGAAGCAAAACTGTTAGAAATAGTGATCAATTTTCAATCCATTTTAACATGCTTTTAATACATTTAAAATGATCTTAAAAGTATTGATTCTCATAATCACAAATGAAAGTCAGCTACAAAGATCCAGTGGTCTGTTCGCAATGTGTCAAATACAGTAAGCTGTAATACCTTGCTTGCTTTGATGCTTGCAGTAACTCTTCTGTACTTTCACTAATTACTGAGGCATTGTTCTTGATGAATAATTAAAAACTTTAGAAACATAAATAGCACATTAACAAAATGTGGGTTTGCTAATATATATATATATATATATTTTTTTTTTTTATAAAGACTGATCCTTTCTAATGGACATTTTCTAATGTAAGTCATTAGTAGGGGGCTCTCTGTGACATTGCAATAGGAGGATTGCCGGTTCAAACCCCAGCTCCGCCTGTCACAGTCATTGTGTCCTTGGGCAAAACTTTTTGGCTGCGTTGCCTACTGATGGTGGTCACAGGGCCCGGTGCAGCCCTGTGTGGTGCAGCCCTGTTTTAGTCAGTGACCCCCAGGGAAGCTGTGGCTACAGTATAGTTTGACCCAAACAGTGCATGCATGAATGAGTGTACTGTAGTGTAAAATGCTTTCGAGTCCCTTGACTTGAAATGTCGCTACAAAGATAATTTACCATTAAGGCTTGTTGTGTCCACCTGGTTCCTGCTCATCACTTGCTTTCCACCTGTTTGCCCCGCTATTAAAACCTCCATTTCTTAATCCTATTTGTTGGAATCTTCTATTCCTGTTCAAGTTTAGCCTATTTTTGCTCTCGCTGTCTTGATCTCCTAATGCCTGCTTTGTATTTATTTGTCATTTTGATTAAGTAGAAAACATTTAATCTCCTGCATTTGGGTCCAATTCAAGGCACTGCATTTTTGCAGTGCGAACTTCAAACAGAAGCCCCCCCCTTTCTATTCTTGCTGGACAATGGTCCGCTACAAGTCAGTTATTTAGCCATCATTCATACCCTCAAATATGCTTGACAAAAATCTTTTTTTTTTTCTTTTATTACCCCAAATGTTAAATATTTTATTAAAATTGTATAGTATGATCAAGTGTTTTATGAATATTTATCTCTATATATTTTAAAGAGAAAATTACAAACTTAAATATATTCATATATTTATTTAAGTTTTTTGTAAAAAGCAGTTCCCAATGTTTTTTCCTGGTAATTGGATGAAATTAATTTAATAACCTTCAAATATGTAATTATCATAGCACCACAGTGGGATGCACATGTTGATAGTAGTAACCAAATATTTTGCTATATTCATGTTTGATCACTATAGAAACATGCATCTTTGCTATATACCAGAAATGATATAGCTCCCTGAATAGTCTTCATTAAAAAAAGCAACTAAACTGTTGAAGTTGCTATTGTTTTTATTTTCCAAATGGTGGTTGTATTTCTCTAAGTGGGAGCAGAGAAGGATGATACTGTTGATCTGGTTGGAAAATAAAAGACAAATATTCACACGGTACACGAAAACAAAAGCTGCAAAAAATAATGCTCTAATAACATGATTAATTAGTTCATATTCTGCAGGGGTGCAGAGCAAAACAAAACAAACAGAACCCCATGAAGCTGTCAGTGATAACACAGCATGACAGGTAGTCAATAAATTTACAAAACAGAACACGTGTGCAGTTTTAGGTGGTCTCTCCGCTGTGCTTCAGCAGGTTTTCTGAGGGTGCTAAAGGGGGAAAACAAGGCTTGTAAAAGGGGGGTTTTATTGTCCTATTACTTCTCCTTTTTTCAGTTTGTTTATGCATCTCTTGGTTCTGTGAATTCAATTCTTTCTCAAAAGATGCAGGAATAGTTTGTGAATTTTGTTGATTCAAAAGTTATATATAACCGACAGAGCTTTATAGTTAATTACCAGAGGTTAACATCATCCAGTGTGTAACAATGATGTAGTCAAATCAGTACTTTTTATTGTATGTGCATCCGAATCAGCTCAATAAATATGATGCATTATCTTCTATTTACATTGCATTGTATGGCTATCATAGTAACTTTAATTAGAATGTGAAATAAGTTCTTCCAAAAGCAGAGAACCATCTCTTCACATTTTTAACACCTCAAGTAAAAGTGTAGGGAAACACTTGGATATATGTTCAAAAGCAATGATAGCTGATTGTGCTAAGTAAAATATATGCCATGGGAAGAACTGATTAATCCATAGACATTCTAACATCTTGAATGTTAAAAGAGTGAGTGCAGCTTTCACAGACTGAAATTACTTAGAATATCTAACATTTTAACATATCATTTTTCAAACATGAACAAGTTGAAATGTAATAAATGATGCCATCTGTCAGGTTTTAGTTATTATTGTAAATGTCAGCAAAGATATTTTCTAATTGCTTTTAGAGATGTCTACACCTGGTGCGGTATTACTGCTCATCGTTGTGAACTGCTGTTTTTAGCAGACTCCTTAGAGTCTCGAAGGCCCAGTCTGCCCTTATCGATCTACTGATTGATTGCCAGGCATCTAGTTTTTGTTCCTTTCAGACATTTGTGTTAAACTGGCTATTATAAAAGCATCATCCTGACTTGATTCATGATGAGCTACAGTTTCTTGCAGAAGAATGAAAGTATTTATTATTTTTATTTTTGCCTTGTTTTAAAGTCAAGAGTAAGTTTTTTTTTGCTGGATTTTATGGAGTAGGTATCACAAAGTAGCACATAATTGCAAAAAAGTGCAATTTAAATAGTATTGTATTTGCATTTAGACGTTTTTACTCTGCTACCCTTAAAAATAATTAGCCAAGTGATTGCAGAGGTTTACCTAATTAGTAATAAGGCTGTGCAACTGACCTCAGGAACAATATATAGTAAATATCAAAATGGAAAGAGTACAAGCATAGCTGAAAAGCTTTCCAATGCATGGACATCCACCTAAACTGAGGGCTAGGAAAGAAAGCTTTATTCATGCCAACAGAAGCAGTTGGCAATTTTAGAGGAGCCCCAGATGTCCACATCTCAGGTGATTAAATAATTTTAACAGATAACTAAAAGCTATAGGCATTATAAATTTAGGTTTTGTGGAGAGTTTCTTATCGTCATTTTGTTTGGTAATAACATGAAATGCAATGGTTTAATATAATAATAATAAAAAAAAAAACGTTTGAATATTTTCTAATGCATGACAGTTTGATTTCAGTTCAGAAACAGAAATAAAGCCTGTATATCAGTGTTGCATAAATTTAGTAAAGAAAATCCTAACCTTCCTTTCTTTTGTAATTCAAGCTTTATAACCCAGTAGACCTGTTTACATGCACAACAAGCCATGCAGCAAGCTGAGGGAGATGGGAAAATCTGCAAAGCTTTTTATCACCTCTTTAAAGGTCTCCATGCTTTGCTTTATTATGAGGAGTAAATATGCAAAGCTGTCAAGATAGAGGTCAGTATCAAGATACTTAAGGATCAGACCCTCTGAGATCCTTATCTAACAAAATGAAGGAAAATATTGGCCTTGAGGCTGCCATGCTTGTTTTTTTTAACCAGAGACAATCATTTTTATTTATTTATCTTTCCATATTCTCTGCCCTCTGCTTGTAGGCGGAATTGACAAAGCAGAACAAAGCTTGTTATTAAGGCATTGTGCATACCACTTTCCATTTCTCTCTTTCTTCTTTGCCCATAATCTGTTTTCTTGCCCAATCATGTCATTACTGGGCTGCAGCACAACAGAGTTTTGCTTTCTCTTTGCTTTTCATGCCTTTAGGAGATAATATATCTGTAAGCCTTCATTTAATCTGAACCCAGACCAGCAAGTCGCACCCGCTTAGATCCCCCAGTTATCCTCCTATTTACTTCCAATGTGATTTGATATTTTTAAAAGCTTCCTTCACATCATCCCCCCATTACGAGAATTCAGTGGACTTGTGAGCTACTCAGTCACAGATGAAAAGCCATGAAGGAGGAGCAGGAGAAGAGAGGAAAATGAAGATGATAAGAGAAGAAGAAGACTAGATGAATGCATGCTTGAGGGCGATGGTGGCAGTTGAATGTCAAATGATGCTCTAAGGCCCTATTTTGGCTCACTTTTACATCAGTAAGCAATGACATTACATCTATTTAAATCACACAGCTTGGTGATTACATTACGGCGTTTTCCTTTTGGAGACAGGCGGTTCAGACAGATAAGATTCCACAAAGTCTGTCCTTTGCAGGCTGACCTTGCAAAATTGTTAATTAGATTTAACAGAATTGTTCTTTTTGAAGTGATGCACAGTAACAAAAATAGAGTTATATCTAGTTCATTTCTGAGAAGTAGCAGCAACTCTCTTGGCATCATTGGATTTAAACCCAGCTGATCAAAGTGGCTGAAGCTAACCAACACACATGATAGAACGACAACCTTGAAACAAACATCCAAACTGGTTCACCGAATCACGTCTTATGAGCTTATAACACATTATTATTTGACAAAAGAGACAAAGGATCCCAAATGATCTTTCTTGGTGATTACAGATTCTCATAGAAGAACATGTGAAGCATTCCCATTAAGAATAATCGTCTAATAGAAAAAGTAAGACAATGTAAAAAAGTTGGAATATTAGTGATTTAAGTTAATATTTTCATTGATTTTGACGCAACTGATTTGAATCACAAAAAAAAACACCATTTCTGTTCATATTGATTTCCTGTTTCAAACTGAAGTGTTTTTGCTGGAATTTTATGCAGTAGGTATCACAAAGTAGCACATAATTGCAAAAGAAATTGCATTGTAAATAGTATAAGATGTATTTGTATTTAGACCTCTTTACTCTGCTACCCTTAAAAACATTTAGCCAAGTAATTGCAGAGGTTTACCTTATCAGTAATAAGTCTGTTAAACTAGTCTCAGGAACATTGCATAGCAAATATCAACAAGACTAAGACACACCAGTCAGCTTAGGTATAAAGGTACGGAGAAGTTTTAAAGATAAGGCTTTAAAACATTATTCAAAAATGTGATATATTTATCATCATCTAAAATTCTATGAGTCAAAATTGATTGCTGTAGTTGTTATGAAAAAAAAAACAGAATGAACAAGAATCCTAAGATTAAAACCCTAAATAGGTAAAAAGCATGTCAAATCCAAAACTTTAATGGTCATAATTAAATATCCCTTAAGTGTTCAAAATGGTACTACTTTCACTTAAATATAGTATTATATATATATATATATATATATATATATATATATATATATATATATATATATATATATATATATATATATATATATATATATATATATATATATATCACAAAACCATCTTTATTTTACTCTAAAAATCCTGAACAATCCATTTTAAGTATTGCAGCTTTGTCCAGTAGTGTACATTCCTACTCGGTTTTCATTTATATAATTCCTGCAACACATCCCCTCCAATTATTTTATCCTTCCAAATACACCACATAAATATTGTTACATAAACACTCATCAAAATGTAGGCTACTGCATGAACTTCAAAGAAGAATCTGCCATTTTGGGGTAGGGGTAAAAAAAAAAATTTGGTTTCCACGTTCTTTTTCCTATTTTTTGTGCTCTTAATCTTCCCTTCCAGCTAATCCAGTGGGAAGATCCTCCATGATTATCTTTTCTCCCTGTATTCATAACCAGCCCAAACCGCCTGTCATCTGTGCACCTCCCTTCCTTTTTTCTAACTGCCTCTATCTTCCCTTGCACTTTTTAAGCTCATCCCCCTCCACATTCGCCGTCCTCTTTTCTTTTCCTAACAAGCTTTTTAGATGGGAGTGAGTGACAAGAATAAATTATTTGACGCTATTTAGAGATGCTGCTGCAGGAACTGTAAGTGATTTTATTGTGTGAGATTGTGACTGAGGAGCTGTATAAGGCAGAAGGATAAAAAGTGTTATTATTAGAAGCAAAACAGTGATTTAGAAGGGATAACACAGTGGTAACAGTGCGCGTGTGTGTGATAATGATAATGAACAAGTGTGTTTCTAAGGAGGAGGGTTGTCATGACATGGATGTTTTAATTAGATTAGACCCAGTGTGTTTCAATACCCTGCCGATCTCAATGGGCGTGGGCGTGCGCGCACGAGGATGTGTATATTCACACCTCTGGATTTTTTTTACAACCACCAATTTGAGTGTTTTTTTTGTGTCTGCATGTACTGTTACTAAGTAGACTTTACAATAGAAATTTTGAAATTAAAGTGAAAAGGTGTATGTTTAATGTTTTGTTTTTGTTTTTTTGGGTTTTTTTTTTATTCTGGGGTGTACATTTTCCTTTCAACCCCCTGCGTCAATAATTGCTGGAACCACATTTGCAAGTCTTTTGTGATCTACGAATTTTTTGTTTTTTTTTGTTTTTTTTTTAGATTAGATTAGATCAGCTTTATTGATCTCACAGCGGAGAAATTCACTGGTCATATTTTGGCATATTAATTAAAGAAGAGGGTGCAAACAAGGAGGAAAAAGGTGCATTAAGAATAAACAATATATATACAGTATATCAAGATAAATGAGGATTAATGTGCAAGTGCATCTCTCCTTGGTTTAACTTTTTCAAATATTCTGCATTTAGCATCATGCATCTTCTGCTTTCCTGTTTTTATGAGGAAAAGCTCAAAATGCCTATTGCACTGAATATGATTTAAGGCTCCCAAAATTAGAAAATCATGTATCATTCTCATTCCACTTACCGTTTTTTAACAGTTTTGTGTTGATTTATTAAATGAAATTACACCACCGGTGTTACTCTTGCATGGCCCTATATTGCAGGCGGTTTGTGTCTTACAGACATGTCAGGTTTGTCTTCCTTTCACTGTGCATCACAGTTTGTATTTATGTCTGTCATGTCATGCCTCCATTTCCTCCCCCCTGCACTTCAGTATCTCTTTCATCCGAGCCCCATCTATTAAACTTAGCAAAACATTATAGTCTTTTTCCATCTGTCTCCACTCCACTCCTTTCAACACATCCTCTCATTTTCAATCCCAGCCATTCCACTATTACGACTGCGCTCTCCTTCTTTTTTAGCCCCCCCCAGCACTTCTTACCCGTTTTTAGCTCATCATCCATGCACTCTTGTTTTTTTATCTGACTTGTCGCCATGTTGTTTACTCAATTTGAGAGGGCTGTTTTTGCCATGAAAAGCAGCAGGCTAAATCACCAAATCACTCAGAAGCACAAGATAGCAATACACCAAAGGTATAATTAGTCCTTAATTAGAAACTTTATCTAACACTTTACACGGTTGTAATCAGGAATGTGCTAACGAACTAGAATTGTGAAATTAGATTCCAACAATAGAAGAAAGGCAGGGTAATCTACCTCTATGTGTCCAACCAGTTGCTTGGAGACACAGCTACTGTTTAAAGTATAAAAAATTCTCATTATTTCTGTCTAAAGCATGTCAGTTTTTTTTCTCTTTTAATTTAGTTCTTTAGAAGTAGTTGGAAACTGCTCGAGGATTCAAGCCAGTGTTCTGCTTTGAAGCACTTAGCGAGAAAACATCTTTGCTACAGGAGTCTGTAAAGCAAATCAGATGTTATGTGTTAGGCTATGATTTTACATTAAGGTGTTTTCTTTTTTCAGAGCTGGAGGTAGCCAGGCTAAGCACAGATGGAAACCTTGCGGATCTGACGTTTCCACAGTCGGAGCAACATGGAAACTCCATCCAGCTGTCAGCGAGCACTCTTAAACAGAACGGAAGAAATGGTAAAAGTTTCCCGTACTCTACTTCCTAATCCTCGATATGGCGTTAGTGACCCATCTCACGCCCCGGTTAGCTGACTTGCACTGGTTTCTCTGTTAAATTAATTAATTCAGGCTTTCCTGTATAAACCAGTCGAACCACTTTAAATATACAGTGAAAAAGCTTTGTTCCCCTCAGAAATTTAATCTGTATTTGCTTTTTTTTTAAATCAGATTTATCTGTCAGATCTCATCAGACAATGATAGTTTTAGCAGTTCCAAAACATACTTGAACTTAATAAGGTTGCAGGATCAACTTGATACTGTGCAAATTATGAAATATTTTCCCTCTAGTCAATTCATGAATTAAGTGTTTACAGTGATTACAGTTATATTTGATTACCACCAAAAAGGTACAATCATTAAATCACTTAAAATCCCTTAGGGTGACAGTGGCGTCGGGTGCAGGCATTTGCCCTGCAATTGAGGGGTTGTCTGTTCGAGCCCCCAGCTCCATCTTTCAGTCTCGTTGTGTCCTTGGGCAAGAAGCTTCATTTGCATTGCAAAGCGGTTTGATCAAGTCTCTTGACTTGAAAAAGGGCTATTTAAGTATAGGCCATTTGCCAGTTAAAATGGGCTTCTCTTCCCAAATAAAGTTAACTAAAAGATCTCCATTAGCAACAGATTATTCCCCAATCTGGTAAAAAAAAACAAAAACAAAAAAACAGGGCAAAATCATTGACATTAGTTTTTTTTTAAATAAATAATAATAATAATAATACGTTTTTTAAAGGTTTTGTGATCATCAAATTACTGTGGGTTCTATTTTCCAGAAACGAAGAAAACATGAAATGGTGGAAAATGCTTCTAACAATAACTAGTCGACCAAAATTACCCCAAAAGCATTCTGATAATGCATCCAGGATGCATTAGGTTAAGAGGATAATTACTCTTTCAGATCAGGCCAGGTCGGTTTGGATAGCTTAAACCTAAAATATTAAATCATATTTTTAAAACTTCTCTTTGCAATACTCATGTTTTTCTTTGTCTGATATTAACTGAGAAAGAACCAGAAAAATATGTGCAAGCAGGTGCTTTTTCACAGCACCCTAAGCGGCCATCCATACACAACCTGTTGAGGTCAGTTAGTCCAATTTTCCACACTCCAACACAAATGCCTCTTGAGATCATAATGCAGTTGATCAGTTGTCTTAAGTTTGTCTAGTTGTATGTTTTTACATCACTGCATGAAAAGTGAGATTTTCGTCCCCGTAAACCCCCGTAAACTCCCGCAGATCTGCCTGATTTTCGTCAGTTTCCGACAATTTGCAACCCGTGCTTGTCCGCGTTTGTCGTGCCACAAATTGTCGGAAACGGACAGTGACGTAGGTGGAGAGCGATCAGCTGTACTAATGGCCCTAATTAGCATATGAATGCAGCAAACCCGCGCGGCTGGCCAGGTCTGGCTTGAATAACCTTCTCAGTATTGGCTGAAACCACTATTCTCAAACAAATGAAATCGCTCGTGATTGGCAGCAAAACCACACGTGGCCACGCCAGGCTTTAATTTTCTTACTGAGTATTGGACGGAACCACTTCTTTTTAAACAAGTGAAGTCGCTCGTGATTGGTTGGCATATATATATATATTTACATATATATATTTATTCATATATATATTTATTCATTCATATATATATATATTCATATATTTATTCATTCATATATTTATTCATTCATATGCTGTGTATTTATGTTATCCTACACTACTACACAATTATTATGCTACCATCAAGGACATGAATGAATTTATACAGGAAATGAACATTTGCCAGGAAGCTGTTTATGCAAAGAAAGAGCTTTATTAAAACACACACAACTATATACAACGCGTATCCAAACACATGCGTATCTAAAAATTACAACTCCGTGAACGGTCCGTTTGCTTCCTCGGGGTTGGAGGTAACAGGCAGCATTCCCTCCGAGGCAGGTCCGATGTGCAGACGCCTACTGTGCGTGGCCTTGTACTTCGACATCGCTTCTAACCGGGACTGCAGCTTAACACAGAGTTCAGTGAGATCCGGCCTACGAAATGGCGGCGACCGTACAATCCATCCAGAGACACCGCCGACGACGCCATCTTCTTCGTCGGGCATGAGGTCGACGGTGGCGGACTTACAGAGTTCCACTTCCTCATCTGCCAGCACACTCTGCCTCGCCTTCAGCAGCTGAAAAAAAAAAAAAAAACATGAATCAGCGCACTGCATATGGACACAACACATCTATCAATGCACCCGAAAAATAGTCACCAAATAAAGTCTTACCCTCTTTCGTCTGGCCCGACTCCGAGCAGATAGCCTGGCAGCCTCCGCACGCAGCGTGCTCGCTAGCAGCGTGTATCTGAAGCTCCTGCATACCGTCTCATAATACGTCTTACAGGCAGCTGGAAAACAATTAAATGAGAGTGGTATGAATAAAAAAATAAAAAAATCAACCGCAAGTCACAGTAACAAGGAAGGAGAAAACATTAAAACAAGTCACTTACACACAATGTCGTCTTTATCAACATCGTGCAAATCCGAGCAAATAGGAGGTCACCGCCTCATTGTGAGGCGACTGTAGTCTGTGAAAAAAAAAAAAGTACAGCTATGGTCGGTATCCATCCGTATCCATGTCCTTTTACCGCAGAATGAAAGCATATTCTTTAAACCTTACCCCTGCCGGTTCATAGCGCCTGCAATTAGTCTCCGAGTTGTTAAGACGGCATAATGCTTCCTGTGAATCACAAAAAATACACTTTAGTAAAGCTTTAGGCTAGGCTGCTTTTAGCTTACCTAGCTAGGCTAGGCTGTCTTTAGCTTGCCTAGCTAAGCTAGGCTGCTTTTAGCATAGCTACCAGTAATCGAACATATATTTACCGCTAGCGTGGCGTTGTGCACCCGTCTTCTCTTCCTCGAGTTCGTATTAGGGTGGCCAGATGTCCGGCTTTAGGGCGGACAGTCCGGATTTTCATTGCACTGTCCGGCGTCCGGCGCTGCACCCAGCCGGACGTGTATTTGTCCTCCTTTACCCCCAGATTCCACATACTCTGTCAGCGCTCCGCCCCGCTCACGTACGGAGTACTTGTCTGTCTTCTTCTTCTTCTTCTTCTTGTCGAGTTTTATGGCGGTTGGCAACAAACTGTTAGTAGCATTACCGCCACTTACTGGTATGGAGTGTGGTTCGTGATGGTTTAAATATTGATCCTGATACATTCTACCCTAACTTCTTCTAAACATACATTCACACATTCACACTTAAAAATATAAACATATTTGTGCACAGCTTTGTATATCATTCCTTCACTCACAAACACACTTACTATAATTAAATTCTATGGAATAATTTCGTTTTCTTTAGAAATCGAATAATTATTTGTATGTGTTTACTCCCTAAATTTTTCCTCAGTATATCTAATAAATTAACCTTCTCCTTAATGTCTTCAAACTCTCTTCTCATATATCTTCTCTCTTTTTCATATTTATGACATTCTAATATAACATGTTCTATGGTTTCATATTTATCACAGAAATCACATTTGCCCGTTTTATGTTTTTGTATTTTAAAAAGTGTATGATTAAGTCCTGTATGACCACATCTTAACCTTGTTATCACTCTTTCATCCTTTCTATTTCTTCTTCCATTTCTTCTTTCTCCTACCATCTTCTGAATTTTATAAAACCATCTTCCTGTTTTATCTTCATCCCACCTTTTTTGCCAAATTTCCATAAGTTTCTCTTTAATAATACTCTTTCCTTCTGATTTACTTATTTTAACTATAAAACTAATAGAATGTTTAATTGCCCTTTTTGCCATTTTATCTGCCCTCTCGTTTCCTTCCACCCCAATATGTGCTGGAACCCACACAAATGTAACTATCAGCCCCATGTTTCGTATTCTGAACAGTGTATGATTTATTTCTAATAAAATGTCCATCCTACTATCTGTATTACTTGTCTTTCATGTAAATCAATGAGAGCTGTTCCACATCCTCCGCTCGTCACCGCCCACGTACGTCTTCTCCGTCCTTCACCGTCAAAATACGGAGCTGAGCTATTTTTTGCTCCCCTCCGGTCCGTCCAGATCAAGACCCGCTATTGCAATCGCACCAAACAGAAAAAAGAATGTAGAGAAGACCCGGTTTGTCAAATTAAATTATAGTAAAAACAGATCGGTATCTAGAAATTAGAGCATAGTTTGTATATATTCCCAAAAACTAAAACAATAAATTTAGATTTTATTTCCTGGCAAAACATTCAATTCGGTTTATCCATTAAAGAAAAAAAAATTTGGAATTTTTAATCAATATTCTAATAATTGTAACAAAGTATTATATCCATAAATGTCGCTATGCAAAATGCTCCCTCTCAATCTCTGCTCTCAAAAATGAACTTTCCCTTTTCAAAAGATGTCTGAGAAAGATGCAGAATTTAAATGCAATTAAATTGTTTGAGTTAATTGAAGAACTTCAGTTGGTAGTCCCCACTGATTAATTTACTTTAACTACTATTATTATTTTATTTATTTTTATTTATTTTATTTTATTTTATACTTTGTTCCAGCCTGTGCATTTAATTTTATTTTTCAAAAGCAGGAGTTGTGATATTTCTTCTTGTATTGAAATATTTGTTATTGACTTGTTATTTGAGATTGTTATTGTTTTCTTATATATTCAATAACAAAAAAAAAAAAGTGGAAATCTAAAAAAAAAAATTAACCATTACAGCCAACTGATTCTGATTAAAACTAATTTTTGAAGTAAATTATTTTGTGTATTTTTTTTACATAACATTTGCATACACAGAAATCTAGCGTACTTTAATTAAATAAATCAATTCAAGCTAAAATGTAAGAGTCTATAATTAGGCTATACTGAGCCTGATCTATTTCTACCATCTATTTGGGGGATATTTATTGCCACACTTTGGGCCACTTAAAACCAATTTAGCATGCTGACCTATGTCCTTATGACCACAGTGTACCAATCTTCTGATGGCTACTTCCAACAGGATAATGCGCCATGTTATGAGATTTTCTTACCCAGGGTTGCAGGGGGGGATTTTACCCCCCCCCCTGCAACCCTGGTTTGCATTTGTATAGCTCACAGCATGTTTATTTACATGTTAAAGCCTCCCCTAGAATTCCATGGGGGGGAGGCATGGGGGGAACACAGCCTAAGAAATTCCACGTCAATTTCTGACAATTTACGGGAGTTTTCGTCGAAGCCTGCAAATTGCCGTATACTGCCGCTAACCTGAAGTTCCACGACAATCTACAGTGCCGCATATTGACGAAAATCCCACTTTTCATGCAGTGCATGTTATCACATATTTTACCTGTTTAAAGATCCTCAATGGGCTATGCTTATAGAAAAAGCATATGCCTAATATTTAATTTAACAAAATTAGACAGAAATCAAAATTTGAAGTTGTGTTGTTCTTTTGAATGCATTTCTAAAACCTTTTTACACTGATTCTGCAGTTGTAATGCAAACATGTTTTCTAATTGTGTTTAATTATCAATGTTAAATTTGTTTAAGAAAAAAACAAAAAAAGATCAGATGTGTTTTTATTTTTTAATTAAAAATTAAATGTGTTCTCTCACAGGTGAGATCCGGATGGCCTTTGTCCTGTACAGGAACTTAGGTTCATACCTGCCAACAGAAAATGCCAGTGTTAGGTTGAGCAGCGAGGCAGTTTATCCTAATCACTCGGTTATTGTCAACTCCCCGGTCATCACGGCGTCGATCAACAAGGAAAGCAATAAGGTCTACCTTTCTGACCCTGTGGTCTTCACAGTTCAACACCTTCAGGTGAGTCGGGGGGTTTAACAAACAAAATGATAAAGAACTAAATGAGGACTAATGTGATGGGATTGTCAGAGAAACTATAGATTTCTGCATATGTTTTAGATAATAGGGTTCTTATTTGTTATTTTATTTTTATTTTTTTATTCAGATTATGTGAACGGCCCTCACTATATAATCCTAGCCACAAAAAGATTTGTTCCCCCCAAACATCATTTAGACATTATGTTTTAAGCTAAATCTGGTTTGTCCATCATAGTCTTTATTTACTCCAGAAATATCCATGCATCAATCCATTTTCCGTCACTCTTATCCCTGCTGGGGTCACGAGGGGTGCTGGTGCCTATCTCCAGCTCTCAATAGGTGAGAGGCAGGGTACACTGTGAACAGGTCGCTAATCTACTGCAGGGCAACACAGAGACAAACAGGACAAACGACCATTCACACACACACACACTCATACTAAAGGACATTTTAGAGAAACCAATTTTCTTAACAGTCATGTTTTTGGACTGTGGGAGAAAGCCGGAGTATCTGGAGAGAAGCCACACATGCTCAGGGAGAACATGCAAACTCCATGCAGAAAGCCCCCAGGCCGCGAATCGAACCTGGAACCTTCTTTCTGCAAAGCAGCAGTGCTCCCCACTGTGACACTGTACTGTTGAAAAAGGGGTTGTGTTCGGTCCTTCTGATTTTGTCCCACTTCAGTCCAAAAACAGACGCAGAAAAGATCCAAGGTTTAAGTCATAACACGATTACATTTTATGTGGTTAAAAATTTCCTTTTTTGACTCTGAAATGTCAGATGTTTGCTGGACAGGACAATCAGCAATTTCCAGAACAACTCCTAGTTTTTTCTTTTCCCACAATCCACCTATGGTACCACTGCATCATTCAATCAGCATTACACATGACTGTCACTACAGATTTCTCCTACGCTATGTTTCCAGGGATTTCTTCACACCTTGCAAGGATGATCATGACAATCAGTGATATCCCTCACACTATTCAGGATACAGTAACATGAGCACAGTGGGAAAAACAAGCTTGACGTGCTTTATTTTTAGAAGCTGGAGCTTAATGACTACACAGTCACATCTCAATGTGTTTTGTTTTTTTGTTAATCTCAGGACTTACACAATCTGTATATTGAGGTGTTATGAATTGCTCGGTGAGGTGATAAGAGAACCGAGGGAATCCATCGGTAGAGTCTGTTTTGCTTTCAGATGCCTTTGTGTTCACAGAGACTGCAATTATTTTAACTGCAAAGATTTCACTAATTTGCTCTGTGGTTTATGCAAAGTTTAAAAATTTGATGTACTTATACTCCTTTCCTTATCAATATCATCCCTTTAAATGTCTTCTCCTTTAATAAAAGAAAAGTTGTCTCATGAATATGAATTTAACAGAGGAGAGCACAAACTTTATACTTGTAGTACGTTATTTATATTTCGTCTTAAATAGCATCTCAACATCTGTTGATAAAAAAAATAAATAAAAAACATTGTAATATTATTTGATGTATTAGATTTTTTTTAGTTGCTCCATGATTGTCAGTGACTCCCATCATGGCCTGCCTTCTGAAGACTTTCAGGAGGCACGTATGATGGTAGCTGCTTCAGTATGCTCTGTCAGCAGTGTTACTTATATGATAAAATGGAAAAAGACACAAGACATATTTTACACTAACATCTCTGATAAAATCCAGTATAATCAGATCTCTTCTGTGGTTACCTTTTTTTAAAGACAGTCCAGCTGTTGTGTAAAGACCTCAGTGGTTTCCTTGGCAACACTGGTAAACAGACAACTTAAGGAAAACCAAAGTAAACAGCAGACGGATAGGGACTACAGTTGTGAAGACAACCAGTGTTAAATAACAAAACAATATTCCAAACCTTAAATGTCACGTTTTACTGTTTAATTCATCTTTTAGAGTTTAAGAGCCCATTACACGTCATCTACAGGGTCAGGTTTTTCACAATTATTATCATACGGTCTTGCAACCTGCTCCCTGTAATATTACCAACAAAAAGGGTGTTTCTACCCAGCAAAGGAGGAAACACAATTCTCACACTCACTGACTACAATAAATGTTATAAAGAACTAATTTTGGCTGCAACTTAGATGTTAACATGCTCTTTTGGGCAGGTGCCCATTCTTAACCAAGTGAAAAAGAAACCCCACTGCACACAATAAGGAGGTCAAAGTGAATGATGTGGTCTAGACAGGATAAGTAAAAATAAAAAATACATATAAATATAAACTTAGTATTGCAACAGTAAAGTATGCGTTTGATAGAATTATATAATCCAAACTGACTTTGCTGGGCCTATTAAAGAATTGCTTCAAACTTTACCCCTCGTGACCCAAAATACCTGCAGCTCTAAGTGCAAAAAAATTAATTATCCATGCAATGTCCATTAAATGCAATTCACAATTATAATTCTGTGTTTAAGTCAAAATATCACTGTATTGTTATGAGCAAATTTTATGTTCATTTTTTTTTTAATATTTGCTCATAACAATACAATCACAACAGATATCGATTAAATATATACCTCTGCAATTGTAAAATGACCAGATAGGGAAAGGTTTTACGGATACATTTCTAAAATTGCTGTTACATATCCATTTATTTTAGCTGGTTTGTTTGTTTAATTTTAGGCATGCTATAGCCTGAATTCAATTCAATTCAATTGTACTTTCATAATCATAATAATGAATAAAATCTAAAATTGAAAATGAGTTCCTGTTCTTGGGTTCAGTTTTTTTTATTTTATTTTATTTTTAAACCCTCAGTTGACCATGATTAGGGACGATATATAACAGCCAATGCTTTTTATTAACTGGCTGCTTGAATTCACAGGTTTTAAGCCTTTATAATTAAGTTTCCTTAAATTTGCTCCAACTGTGTTTAACTCTCTCTGCATGAGATATGAAGACTCATTGGACGTTAACAGACTGAAATCCATATTGTCTCATATTGTCTAAATGACGACGGTCTGCACCAGGGTTTCATGACGTACTTCTCATTCAGCAAGCAAATGTGTATCCAGTTGGTGACCCAGCTTGTTGGCAGCAACAGAATTCTCACTTGTTTTTGTTTTTTTGTTTTTTTTCTCTGAGAGGAACATTATAGGCCTAACAAACACATCGTCAGTTTACACAACACAAGCCGCTCCTGCGCCGCAGAACGGCACGCGAGAGCGGACAAGGCGCTGTCACCTCCTGCCATGGCTCTGTGTTTATTTGTGGCTTCACTTTTTCATTCTGTCCCTTCTGTTTGTTTTCATGTTGCTGTGTCTCCCTCTGTTTAATTCTTCCTTTTACTTCCAGTGTCTCTCAACACTTTCTTAGGCCATTTAAATATACCTACTTTATTTCATTATTGTTTTAATTTTTTGGGTCCTACTACAATGTTTGTATCTGAAAACAAACTTTATCAATATGAGATGAAAAAATAAACATTTTGTCCTTTCAGTTCAAAACCTTTATTAGACAGTGGAATAACAAGCCTTTTTTTATTGTCACCTTTAACTTTTCAATAGATGCCAGATGAAGTATGAACATTCACCTTAACAGAGGAAAGTGAGGGGTGCTTTAGATGTGCATTTGGGTCCTTTTTATGGACTCTTGCTTAGGTTGGTGATGCGCTTTAGTGTGGTCTGTGTTAAGCCTTCGAAATAGCTTTCTAATCACTTCCAGACTGACAGATGTCTGGAATGTTTTCTTGCCTGTTCTTGAATTACTTTGTTTCGTCATATTGTCACACAGGGTTCTGTTTGAGTGATTGCTTGTTTTTACAGGCCTGGCAATGATTAAAGTTGGGTGTGGCTTGTCTAAACAAAGAAAAGTCAAATCAGAGGAAATCTGCAAGGAGCAATTATTTTTTCAAAGCCTTATGTATTTATATTCTTAGCCATCCCACCTCTCCCATTCTAGTTTTCTATATCTAGGTTTTATCCTATCTGCATTTGTCTTGATCGCATTTTCTATTTCACTCTTTTTTTCAGCAGTCGGAGAAGAATTTCAATCCCAACTGTTCTTTCTGGAGCTACTCCAGGCGCACCATGACGGGATTCTGGTCTACGCAGGACTGCCGACTGCTCGCCACCAACCGCACACACACCAGCTGCTCCTGCACCCACCTCACCAGTTTTGCAGTGCTTATGGCTCACGTAGAGGTCAAGGTATGCTCTTTTTTTTCTCTGCAAGCCAGTTAGGGCAGAGGGGAGGGTACTAGGAGGTCAGCTATTCATCATTTTATAACAAATGACTGGCCAGCTGGTTGAAAGACTGAAGAACAAGGGAGGAGAAAAAAAAAACACCACATCTGTGAGGCAGATTAAACCTCTTCAGAGCCTGAATGTGACTTGGCAGAGAATATTTTTAAGAAATCTCTCATTCAGCCAGATGATGACATTGGACTAACAAAAAATTATATAATACTAGCAACAGAATCTTGAGGTTTAATACATGAGATTCAGAATAAAGTACCAGATTGCATTTTGCTGTGAAAGTAATATTTGATTTGAAGGTAAGACCATTTATTAAGATAACCTTAAATCGTAGTGGGTGCTGGATAAACTCATTACAGTCACATTCTGTCAGGGATAGGCACTTTTCATTTCCCTCCTTTGTTACATTAAGGCGACACTTCTTTCCACACAGCTTTGGATCAAGTACGACACCCGTGCTGTTCCCTCAGGGACCGAGGATGTGTGCTACATCTAAAGAGGTCATGGTCAGAGCTGGCTTGGCAGGCCTCTGTGAACACTGTGTGAGGTTTTGAGCAGTAGATCCATCACTGCAATGTTAGGGTGAACATTGCTCCGCCTGCCAGCTTGCGGGACACTGATGGATAGAGCTAGCGCACCTGTGCAGCGCGGCGTAACGCTGCGGCCCTGAACGCTCAGCGACACACAGCTAGACTCAGATCAGTCAGGGCCAGCAGTGGCGCTCTGTCAGTGTGTTTTTTTTCTTCTTACAGGAACATGCCTCGCGCATGTTTCCAGTAAGCCAAGGTTAAACATGGTTATTCTGGCTGGGTGTTTAAGTGTTATTGAATTATCCCCTCTGGCTTGTCTTGTTATGCTTTTGCTCACAGAAAGCAGACAGTATGCATGACATGCTCCTGGACGTCATCACGTGGGTCGGGATCCTGCTGTCGCTGGTTTGCCTGTTGATCTGCATCTTCACCTTCTGCTTCTTCAGAGGCCTGCAAAGCGATCGCAACACCATCCACAAGAACCTCTGCATCAGTCTGTTTATCGCTGAGTCACTATTTCTGGTCGGGATTAACAAGGCCGATCAGCCGGTAGGAATTAAGAGTTTTTACTCAATTTTCAGCATGTGGATCTAATTGATTAGTATTATTACCACTAGTGTTCCATCAAAACTTATTTAAACAAGTTTGCTTTCATTTTCTTTTCACTCTTTTTTCTAAGATCTGGGGTCTGTTTAATGAAGCAGGTGTAACAAACTCAGATTCAAATCCACAACTCTAAATCGATCTAGCCTAAAGTCAGGAGCTCTGAGTGTTTCACAACGGCTGCTATCAATTAGTTCAATCAAATTTAACTAGGTCCACTCAGAGTTAAGCTCTAAATTTTTATTATTTTTGTAGCAGAAACTGAATTTTAGAAAGTAAAAAAAAAACATACTACTGTAGTAAGAATTAAGTTTTAGATATCTAGAAATGTTTACACATTTTAAGTGGCCGTTCTGACATTTATCAGCTTTACTGAAAATGTATTTATGGTATCTGAAAAAAATATTTTCATAGTTGAAATAATACAATTGCTAACCAGTAATATTAGGAATGTCGAGATCTGAAATCAATTTATAGACATTCAGAATGTTTATTCTAGATGTGGAGAATGTCATTTTGGTTGAAATGGTCGTTGAGACAAAGAAAATAATGTTCATTTGCAGATATTAGGAATACATATTCCGTAAAACTAATACATACCAAATCAGCTTGCCACAGTTCGTTGTTCCCATGAAAATAATATGGATTTATTTCTTGAATGGTAGTAGATCAATGTACCTATTTAGGTGAAATCTCCTGGCAGCAGGTGAAGGTGAAGAATAAAAATGTTGTTCTAATATATAGAACCTGTGGCTCTCATTGATCCCTCCTCATGTTGATTCAGTCTTCTTTTACACAGTATAATGGTTGCTTTCAAACAAATTGCCTTTATAGGCGGCAATCAGTCCCATAGAATGCTTCAGATTGTGTCAGTAGGCTCATTAGTTTGTTTTCATTGAGTGAATCCTAATCCTAACCATTAACTATTTACGTGTAATCTAAAAATATTTTTACTAGCTCTTCATGTACTGTAGATATAACTAAATAAAAATAAAATGATCCACATCTTGCTCATATTAAACAAAGTAAAAACAAGTAATTTTGTTCACTGTCAACTGAGTTGTAGAATCGTCTCTCTATTAATATTGAATTCTCTGTGAAAAAGTGCTGATCATTCTTTAATAAGATCCTCGTCAGACCAACATGCAATGTTTGTTTCTAAAACCTAATATGTGTAACGGACCTTCTGATTTATATATATATATATGTATATATATATATGTATATATATATATGTATATATATATATGTATATATATATATGTATATATATATATATATATATATATATATATATATATATATATATATATATATATATATATATATATATATATACATATATATATATGTATATATATATATATATATATATATATATATATATATATATATATATATATATATATATATTATATATATATATATATATATATATATATATATATATATATATATATATATATATATATATATACATATATATATATATATATATGTATACATATATATATATATATATATATATATATATATATATATATATATATATATATATATATATATAATATATTATATATAATATATTATATATACATATTGGCTGTAAGGAGAGCGGATACAGAGGAAACTCAGAAACTCATTGTGAACCGGAAAAGTCAGAGTCTGCCAGTTTTCAGGTTTAGACAACTTACAGTTTTCGGTAAACCTGCTTCATGAAATGGACCCCTGTTCAACAGCAACATACCATGAGCTGCAATAATCCAAATGAGTTGTGATAGATGCAGGGATTGTCTGAAACTGCTGCAGAGGGATGTAGATCTTGATTTTAGAGAAAAAAACGGAATTGAAACAAAATGTTTTTACAATATTGCAAGTCTGTTCATCATACTTAAATATGTTAAAACAAACCCCAAGCTTCCTTACAGATTGGTTATATTTTAAATCTATTGGACCAATGACACTTTCATTGTTATTTACTACATTGGTTTGTTCAGATATCACAATTTCAATTCTATATTACTTAGTTTAAGAAAGTTTAATCCCTTACGTATTTGAACATCTATAGGACAGAGTGTGGTGTTACCCCCGATTCAAAGAGGTGCAGTAGAGGACCTTATGATGCTGTGGGCCTGTGTCTTATCCAAGGCCTTGGAAACATGCTAGATTGCATAACTTATAAATAAATATTAGCTTTTTGAAATTTAAATTTGTTGGATCAGAAAATTGAAAATGTATAATTATTACATTTTTCAGCATAATTAAAAGATATACATAGCTCTCGGTATGTGTGATGAGATCCTATGCAAGGAAGCTTAACGTGTCCTATTGTCACACAGGGTTCGTGTACCACACACATCAGAATCTACAGCTAAAGTCTAGTAACCTTTACTGTCTCATTTGCTTACAGCAAGTTAAAAATAAACTAAAGATACAAAGGCAAATCATTTAATAAGTTTCGATCCTATAAATGGGTTTTCCCTAAGTATAAAGTATCTTTCCCAACACCTAATAGAGGCATTTAGAATGAATAATGGATTCCTGATATATTCCGGTGTGTAATTGATACACTTCAAGTAAATTAAAGGTAAATTAATTTTAATGTTTATCACGGATTGTTTTCTAGGCTTCCAATAAGTCTGACCAGTGCTGTAGCAAAATGACAGCGTTGTTCACATAATAGATTCTCATAAAAGATATCCACATGTTTGTTTTTTGTGAGCTCATTAGTGATACTGTGTATCAAATAATCAAAAACAGACAATTCTCTGGCTGGCTGGCTTTTCTCTCATCACCAGCTGATAGATTTGTTGAAAAATTTCCCCTTAAAAAATGCCTTGTTATCATATTAAATAAGGCAATGGCAGATTGATAGTGCATTCACAGCTGATTCATTAAAGAATTAAGAAACTGGATATAGTTAAACTGTTGTACTTTACATGGCAAACTAATTCAAACATAAAAAATATGTAGAGGCTAAGGGCTTTAATTTGCCTGTTTGGAATCCAATCCAAGTAATCACAAAAATTATTTACAACACAACATTCTCTTCACGCAGACCTGCCTTATAATCTATTAAAGCTCATGCGCTGGTTAAGGTGATGTCATTGCAGTGCTTCAGTCTTCATTTGTCACTTCCTCCCTGAGGCTGCTGGAGCTGCAGTCTCGTTCTCTCTCACCACAGAATCCTGTTAGCTGCGTGGAGGCCGTTAAATAAACAATTTCCTAAAATGAAGAGCTTCTCGCTGAACATTCGTATACATATGTCCCTGTGTTGGACCATTTATTCCAGAGCGCCAGACACTTCTCTTTCCACATGTCACATTGGGAAAGCACAATAACCCTGTACAAAACACAAGGTGAAATAAAAGTGTACTTTAAGAAAGAAAAAAAAAACTTTCTTTATCTGTAGTATTGATTGGTAATGTGTTGGCAAAGCTTTGAAAAAGTTTATGCTTTGCAAGCAGTTATAGTTGAGGACTGCTGAGACTGAGCAGAGCCAAATTTAAGTTTGAAATGGAGATACTGCCAATAAAAAAACAACATAATATGCTGTTGAAACAATTTTCCTGAAGTTTCTCATGAATTATGTATTTTAACAGAGAAATCTGGACTCCTAGTAAACCTTAGCATGAGTGAATAATATTGTTATAACTCTTCTTTAGTTGGATCAGGGCTGGTATTAAACAGTACATAATATTCAAACAACATTGGAGTTCATTTTTATATATAATACAATAGTTTAATTAATTCAATTCAATTCTGTTCAATTATATAGTGCCAATTCCCAACACATGTAATCTCAAGGCACTTTACAGTTCACCAGATCATACAGTCAAACTGACTTAAAGTTTTATATCTAAGGTAAACCTGAAATGTTTTGCAAAAAGAGTTCAACAGTTAATTGAAAACTAATTATTTCCTCCCTTTTATGGCAAACCAGCCAAAAGCCTAGTGATTTTTCACAATGTTTAAAGGCTTTTATGCTATTTCTGATGTAGTCATCCTTGTGATGCAGTTGCCCCTATGGGTGGACCAGCTCGTCAGGTTGAATTTACATGTTTCTAAGTCAATACAAGGCTTTGTTTTGGTCCACTCTAAAAAAAATCCTTGAATTCAATGTTATTTGTGACATTTTTAATTAAAAAAGCTTTCTGGATGGGAAGTGAAACGTCTTTAAAAACTTGGAAACAAAGCCCAAGGGATTGTTTTTTTACTTTCTTTGAAGCACCATTGGTAGCCAATTTACATTGCTAATCTCAATTATTTGCACATCTGGTAAGTCTAAAAAAAATAAAAAAATAGGCTAAAGACAAAGGCTTATTTTTTTTTACAACAAAATACTAAAAAGTGTTTTTTTTTTTTACAAAATAATTATTTCTACATTGATCTAAGCTGCAATTTTTACACCCCACAGTTTTCAGTGTATGGGGTAATACCACATTCAGCTATACTAAATCAGATGTGTGAGATTTTTAACCTCTTTATGTGTTCATAATCCTATCTTTTTCTAACTTGGTTTAATTCTTTGAGTAGCCTATCCTTTTTTTCCTTTTTTTCTGGGAGCTGTTTCGATCATTAGGAGGTGTATTTCCTGTGGCAAGGAAGTGCTAAAGGCCTTGCCCTTCTTTTTTCCCCGAAGATATTCAAGAAAAGCCACTGGCTATTACCTCCTGCAGTTGTTTTGCAAAAAATGATCCCCCCTCAAAAATAAACCAATGCAATAATCTCATGTCTTAACAGTTATGTTTTCTTCCATTTTGAGTATGTCTGTGCGGGAGACTTCATGTTAATTTGTATATGGTTGTGTGTTTTGCTCGTCTGTTAATTACCAGTGACTATTTTTAACAGCCATTAACATCTTTGCTGTCAATTAGCTCACAGTGGCTAAGCCAGTTATTCCAGAAGGAAAAACTTAATGACTTTTGCACAAGCAGACACCTTTTGGTGATTTCCTCTTTTTCTTTCTGTGTGTTTGCGTGTGGATATAGTAAAATCCTTATTACCATATGCGATCATTACAATTCGAAAAGAGTGACTCATGAGTAAGCCATTGTACATTGGCATGTATTTGAAAGTCACCATGGCAGAAATTCTAAGGTCTTAAGCCATATTTCAACCCGAAAATTTAAACTCAGTTTAATTCATTTTTCACACACTCTAAAAGCTCCTATTACTATTACTACTTTTTTATTCACTGCTTTGTATTCCTATGTGTTTAAGTAGTGATTTCAGAATTTAATGAAAGTTTGACATAATCATATTCAAAACCTATTTTATGTGATTTAGACTTGGGTACTTTGGTCAGCACTTCTAAATCTGTTACCTTTTCTATTTTTTAAATGCGAAAAGTTAGGATAAGGTAGATGTGGACCAGTGGAGGGTAAACCAAGGTTATCTTTTTTTTTTGTTTACTTTAGTTTCTATGAAGTACTCAAAAATTGTGTTAAAATCTGTCTTTTCTCTTAATGAAAGTTTTTTGCAATGATTGATTGGTCAATTAAGTCATTCATTAAACAAAAAAACAGGTGTGCGATTTGATTGTTTACCCAGTTGAAATGTACTTTATGCTCAGTAAAAGAAATCTAGTCTGTGTCTTGACCCAATTTCATAAATTCAAGCTAAAGTTACTGAGGGTAGGATTTTGCCTACATGAACTATTTTAGAATTTCGTTTTATAAAGTCGATTAGTTACTTTGCAGTAATTCCTCTTATGTTTGCCCATATTTGTCATTGACTAAAAAGCAGTCCTACCAACTCAGCTCACATCTTTTTTCTCATCTCCTGATAAAAAAAAAAAAAGCTTTGCTGTCTTTGTCTGTAATGTGTTCAATCAGCACAGGCTGCAGCTGGGAACCTGTCTACTGTATCTTCTCATTTATCCTCTAAAGTTGTAGACAGTGATTAAAGTGAGAAAGGAGGCTTGACTAATGTTTCTGTCTTGAAGTGATTTTTTTTGTTCTTTGAACCTAAATTTGCTGTTAAAAGTATACATTGTTTGTAAGTTGTGGTAGTTTGTCTTGTCATATGTCTTGGTGCAGTGCCTTACCAAGGTGGTCATACTGTAACACTTAAACTGCAGAGTTCAACATTTTTCTATTTTGTGTAATAAACACACAAAATGGCGTATGGTTTTAAAATTAAAGGGATCTTTCTTTCTTTCTTTCTTTCTTTCTTTCTTTCTTTCTTTCTGAATTGCAAAGTGTGTCATGCATCAATACCAATATCTACTGACTTTAATGTTAACATCATGTTGGTGGAATCCTGTTGTGGACATGCTGTTTCTCAATAGGGACACAGATGCAGGTCAGAGTTGGTGGGAAACTGAAGAAATCTAAACACAGGGTTTTCCTTGGAAAAAGCAAAATAAATAACTAGAGGCTACAAAGGACTAGACGTGGAACAGAGGTTCTGCTTCTAGCTGGCTAGCTTTACTAAAACAAACAGCCAGAGATTCAATGAAAGGGTTGAAGGTGCTTCTTGCAAAGTTATGTTGAGAATCTAAAGGTATTGTATAAATAGTTGATAAACCCTTCTAACCAAGCAAATTTAGGTAAACTTAAAAAAAAAGAAGAAATAGCTTTTAATTTCCCAGTATTTACCTTCCCTAAAACATGAAAGGTGAATGTCTCTGAATGTTGTGTCCTTTTTAGCATCCTGTTATAAGGAAGCTTTTCTTAGAGACAGATTCTGCATCCAGTCTGGATGAGCATGGGTTGTAATTTCATTGTTTAGCATTAGTTGCATAAGGCTCCTACAGACATACTTAAACTTTAAGCCTTAACTGCAGCAGAAAGGAGTTCTACAAAGTTATTGACCAAGGAGGGCTCGATACAAACACATCCCACATTATACAACTTTGCATGTCTATTTAAACAAAACTAAAAAGCATCCTTTCTGTTTTCCCTTGACTATTTCACACTATTATTCAACTTTGTCAAATAGGAGCCATATAAATCTCACTGAAATTTGTTGTTCCAACATGAAAAACATGTGACAAAGTTCAATTCATACTTTTCCGAAGCAATTTATCCCTTCCAGATAATTTTTAAATCCCTAAAAACATTCTTCCTTGTGCGAATATGATAAATTGCTCATTTGAATCGGACTTATATTCTTATCGCCTGCAGTATTTTTTCTGCTCTCCAACTAATTAGCGCAAGCGTCCACCAGCTTAAATATTTCTTTGTGTAGCTCAACTCCTTGTGTAATTCTTCTCAAGTCATTTCTTTCTCTCTCTCTCTCCAGATCGTCTGTGCAGTCTTTGCGGCCTTGCTCCATTTCTTCTTCTTGGCAGCCTTCACCTGGATGTTCTTGGAAGGGGTGCAGCTCTACATCATGCTGGTGGAGGTGTTTGAGAGCGAACACTCCAGGACTAAGTACTTCTACCTGGCAGGATATGGAGTGCCAGCTGTCATAGTGGCCGTCTCTGCCGCGGTGGACTACAGAAGCTACGGCACTGACCGAGTGTAAGGAAGGAAGCAGAGTCTGTGTGGCATGAAGGGGAGGATAGATGATGGGGCAAGAAGGATGAGGGGGGAGGGAAGTGGGGGCTGAGGCTGGAGTCCCTGCTGTCATTTTGGCTGTGTTTGCCACAGTGGACTCAACAAGCTTTGGCACTTCTCAAGAGTCGATTCAGAGAGGCTGAGAGGGGAGAGAAGCTGAGAAGGATGAAGAGGAGGAGAGAAATATGGGGTAGAGCAGTAGAGAATGCACTGCAAAGTGCCAGCATGAGCGCAACCGTGAAAATGTCTGAATATGGAAGGATTTAGCAAGCAGGATAGAAGGAGGAAGTAAAAGAAGTGCAGTTTAAGTGTTCGAATGGAAGCATTTGCAAAACGGAGTGATGGAGTAGACCGTGCACGCATCCATTCTGGTTCGCACTTGAGTGTGTCGAAATGAGGCTGGCCTCTGCTGAAGGGGCACACAGTGGTGACGAATGAGGATGTGCTTAAAAAGCCCAAGGTGGTGTACTGACGTATGGTTGACTCGTTCAACCTCAGACGTGGCTGAACTCCAAGGAAAAAAAAAAACCTTGTGCATCTCATTCATATGGAGCATATGCAAAATGCATATAGAATATGTGAAACGAAGTTAATGCACAGATTCACATGAGCAGCCTGTCCACGCCGTGCATGCTAGAACTCAGGAAAGAGGCCAATATTTTATTCATAGATCAAATATATATATTAAATACATACTGCAACTTTAACAATCATACTGAGCATATTAGACTACACTTGCTAATTTCCTTTCTATACTCAGTTCTTTGAATTCTTTCCATTAAATATAAAAAAGACTATTAAATGAATATAATGTAATTACAGCAACCTTTAATGTGTCCTACAGTATAATAGAAAATAAGTAAAATAAAAAGTTTAAAAATGTATTAGCAGCAACTGCGGCACGTGTTTGGTGCTGGTCTTCTGGTGCCAGAAAGAGAGCTTAGATGTCATCCTAAAAGTTCAGCTTTGTTTTTAACTATGACTCTCTTAGTCTCACTCTTCCATTAAAAAATAGATTTGTGGAGGGCACAACTAATAGTTTTCCTGTTAACAGATTTTCCAAATTGATCCGTGAATCTTTGCACCTCCTCCTGAATTGCTTTTGGTCTTTTGACTGCTTGTCTAAATAAAGGCTCTTCAAGAACCTAGACATTAGTTTGTTTACCTAGGTTACCAAGAACCAGAAAGAAGTTTAGTTTGGGCAGGAAATGTCCTGCTTTATGTGGAACTCAAGTACACAGATCAACAATGACATTGTTTTATTTTAGCTGCATTAACTACGGCTACTTCTAACTTTTATAAAAATGCACAGCACTTGTTGGACCCAAATGAGAAAAAGTCACACCTGTGAGTTTCAGTGGATGTTCACATCATCGTAGGTGTGTACTTAAGACCGAACTGCTTTAATTTCTTGATGAGTGTCAAAGGCAAACTTAATACTAATGAGACCCACAAGGAGGCGTTAGGAGAGTTCTTTAGTTCAGTAGACGTAGAACTGAGCATTGCTGATAATGATAGAATGGGCAGATTAATGATGGACTAGAAGATGAAAGAAGGGAGCTGAAGATGAAGTAGGAGGTAGACCGGGGCGGTGAAGGGGGCGGAGGTGGGTTGCCCGTTGGTTGGAGAGCAGATACACAGAACTATGATGAGGCAGTTTAAAAAGGAAATCTTAAATGATACTGGCGTTGACATGTCAGAAGAGATTGGCAAAGATAGATTCAGGTAAGATGGCAGTTGGGATATGCAGGTAAGGCTTGGCAGAGTACAGAAACTCTTTCTTTGTCATTCTAAGGAAAGTTATGCTGCTTTTATTTAATCATAAATAAAGTGAAATCTGAACAAAATACGTTCAATTTTCAACAAAGGTTATAAGCACAAACTTATGGTCTGTCTTACATTCGAAATTTAAAGAGGATGCATTTTAAGACTGGCATTAGAAGAAAAAAAACCTCCTCCCTAAGCACAATTAAATTATATCTTTATTGTTAGATATATAACCTTTAAAAGATTCACATGCCCAAATGTTCACATTCATTGTTCCATCTGGAACCTTTTGTAGCTCAGACACCGCATTGCCTCGTAGAAGCTGAAAGACGAGGAAAGGGCTGAATTTAGCTGTGCTTAACGATCAAGCTACACCAATTCACAGGCCACTTAGATCAATATTTCATTGCAGGGTGATCATTAAAGCATGAGAGTCTGAATGCCAAGTTCTGGATGAATAATCTTACTGCATGCCATTAGGCAGTGGAGCATTGTGGAAAACTTGAGACGGCAGGTTTGAAAAGAGAAACGAAGAAAAGATAAATGGCACGGCATGCGTTAGAAGAATCGAGCAGAGCCTCACAGAAATATTAGGTGTCGTTAAAGGATTGTTCTTAGCAGTTTTTGGTAATATTGTACCCAAATAGCTTTTTAATAGCTCTGTGCCCGATGGCCCTCACCGATCTGAAAAGTAACTGACAGAACCATTTTAGCTGGAAAGAGCTTTTCTTTAAAAGCAACAACTTTAATCGCTCATTTATCTCTCTAGCTTTGTAAATGACACCACTTATCATTTTTGGCATTAACGCACTGAGACAAAACATGTGAAAACATCACATGTCACTCCTGCTGTGTCACTCCTGAAAGTACCCCTCTGTTTTTTCCCCTCATTCAAATCGTATAATGAACGGTGGCTCTGCCTTAACAAAGGAGCCCTAATGGAGGGTTCTGTGACACAGTCAGGGACCCATAATGGAGGGCTCACTAATGTGTTGGAAATTGAAAGATTAATAATTCAAAAGCAGCTGGTCATGAATCAGTTGGCCGTTTTGCTGCCTTCTCTCCCTGCAAGCAGCTGGGCCTGACCTCAGTGGAGGGCACGGTGGGACCCCCCCATTTGCTGCGATTTATGAGTGAAGATGTTTTTGGTGGGAATGTGATTCAGCATTCAACAGTTTAGCAGCCCAGCTAATCTGAGCATCCAAAACTGCAGGGTATGATTGCATGCAAATATTACCTTCCAGTTTGCATGGTATTGCTCTCTCCTTTGACTTACCAGTCATTTCCAGACACCATAAATATCCTTGTACGGTCCATCTTGGTGCGGGGAACGCAGTATTCAAATGAATATAGTTGTGTCACATTTTTCTGTCTGCAAAATGTGGCCATGTCATACATCTGAGCCCTCAGGAGGGAGTAAAGGGTTTATTTATCATAGTTGCCCATCCTGTGCTGTCTAACCCCCCCCCGTGAGTGTGTGATGTATGTTGGAGGGGGGTGTTTCATCTATTTTCTTCTTACCTATATCACTTTTCTTATAACCTTTAACCTCACACACCCTCTCTCTTTGTCTCCCCGTATTCCAGCGGCTATTTGGCTACTGTATGTCTTCTATCCTCTGCCTTGTGATCTTGACAGATTATTCAGAATAAGTTAATTGAATATTTCATGAAAGCAAATACTTCTGTTTAACTAAGAAAAACGAAGTACATTCATTAAATTCTTATTAAATTTGTTACATTCAAACAAAATTTTTAAAAGATGCTTACCCACTCTGGATAATTGAACCATATTATTTAGATCCTAAATTTTCTAGTTTTTTTTTTTATAGTGTTATAAACTCAGGACACATAGTCAAATGTAATATATTAAAGGGAAGAAAAACTACAGTATGAGTACTGATTTTGCCCTAAATAAAAACATAATTTTAATATCTAATATTTCTTAAAGCATTTGTAATTCATTTGTAATTTTTTTTTTTCTTTTGCTTTAGAGGAATTGTTGTCCACTCTTTCTAGAACTGCTTACACCTAATTTAATAAATTGCTTGAGCATGAACAAGCTATTTAAAGTCATGCCATGGCATCCTGGCTGAACTTAGGCCCAGCCTTTGACTATGCTCTTTGTCTATGCCAGATATGATGGAGAGCACCATTTCCAGAGGGTTTCCCCTTTTATCACAGTCAATTGAGTATATTTTTAAGTCTTGGGGGTTGTGAAGATGCCATATGCAGATGTGAATCAGTCGTTTTTGTTCTCTTTAGTCAGCCATTATTTGGGATTCAGAACCCTGGCATACAATGCTGACTTAAAGTAAGACAAGTGAGGCCTGCAATGCTTTTGAGGTCCTGTGTCATTTTTTTTTTTATTTCAGTTCAAATCAATTTATTTATATAGTGCCAATTCACAACACATGTCATCTCAAGGCACTTTACAGAGACAGTTCAACCAGATCATAAAGTCAAACTGATTCAAAGTTTTCTATCTAAGGAAAACGAGCTGATTGCTTCAAGTCATTGACTGGAAGGCAATCTCTGACAATAAGTGACTTTTAAACATTTCAAAGTCACCTGTAGGCAAATACAGTACAGCATATGAAACAATAATGCCTTTAGGGCTACATAGGTATTTAAAATATGTTTTTTTTTTCTAACCCCTGCATCTTGCTGTATATGTGCCTGTTGCTAAAGTATACCACTTCGAAGGCTTGAGCAAAGACTGAGACCAGAGGCCAAAAAAAATGTTTGTTACGTTCTTGATCAGTTAGTGGTGAGCTCTTTTGATAGTCTGCTCTAATGAATGTTTCTCAGTCATATTCACTACTGTCCCAATGCAATAGAAATTACTTATATCAGTGGCGCTTTTTCAATTTCATTAGGTTATGGCATCTTGTATTACCTCTCTTGGCCTACAGTACTTCATGTTGTCAGCTAAGTTCCACTTACAGTTGGTAATTTCTTGATTTCTGTTTGTTTTTTTGTTCGCTAGTTCTTTGTGGTAAAGGATATATAAAACAGCTTTCCAAAAATGTGGTAAACCACAGTTTATAATATAACAATATAATAATAATATCTTGTCACATTTTAATAACTTCATGTATGTAACAATCAATCTATTATTCAAATTTATTTGATCATCTAAAATATAAGTATATCAGAAAAGCAAAAATGATGCAAGTCTTTAAAGTTTAATACAATGATAATGAGGGTTTATATCCTGCATTTACATTTTTTATTAACATAAGGACTTTATAGTCTATTCTTCAGTTAAATGTGCCTGAAAGCACAAACCAGAACTATGTTATATATATATATATATATATATATATATATATATATATATATATATATATATATATATATATATATATATATATATATATATATATATATATTATATTTTTGCATTAGTTTGTCACGATTAGGTTGTGGTTTGTTGACCCAAATGCAGAGGCAGGGAGGCAGAGGTTATTTTCTTGTGGGTTTAATGAAAGGTTAATTGAACACAGAGGAAGGAATCTAAAAATCTAAAACATAAAAAACAAAGTCCTAACAAACCGGAAACCACGAATCCAAAATCCAAAAATCAAAACATGAAAACAAAGTCAAAACAACTTCCAAGGAGGAAGGCTCAGAGAGACGGAGTTGGAGGAAGTTAGTTGAGGAACCAGCACTGAAGAACTGAACAGAGAGAGTATTTAAGGGAGACTGAAACAAAGAGAGGACTAATGAGCAGATTGGGAGCAGGTGTGAACAGAGCAGAAACATGAAAGAAGCTAGAGAAAAAGGAGAACACAAGAGGGTAGCAGAGGGTAACAAACAAAAACCTGAAGACTGAAAATAACCAGAAAACACAACAAAATGAGAATTAAACCACTAAAACTAGAAAACAAGGAGCAAAGCAAAACTGAATACTCAAAAGAAAAACATAACAGAACCAGAACTCTGACATAATTAAGTAATCTAATCTTATTTAGGGGATTTTCTGATACTGATATCAACATGTGGGAAAATATTATTCTTTCTTTTATTTTTTTATATTATTTAAGCCAAAGTTTAAAAATAAAATCATAGCTCTATAAGCTGTGCGCAAACAATAACTCACTTTTTTCCCTATTGTTTACGCAACAACTTTTTTTGGTAAAAATAAAAATGTAAAAATGTGTTTTGTTCCCACACTTTGTTTCAATTAAAAAACTTAACAGGACAATAGCCCATTTTTTCTGTATTAAATTTTAGTATGGAATAAGTCAAAATGAATGTGCACCCACACAACACAGTGGCTGCCGAATACCTTTAAAGCAACAGAAGACCAAGTTATTAAAATAGATTATGGCAGATTGCATAGCGCTACTAAAATGTGGTGTTAAATACTTTTGATCTAACACTGGTTTTCCAAAAGAGTGATAATCTCTTGCACATTGTTGAGTTAAAAAATATATATAACACCGGCTAGAGATTGAGTGGGGGAATTACTTTGGTTTCACTGCCCAGCAATTTCCATGTATTCCATGATTGGAAATGAAACATTTAGATGTCATTTAGATGTGTTAACCTGAAAAATAAAGAATTTAAAAATAAATAAATAAAATTTCTACTATGTTCATTAGTTAATGCAGAATTGTTTACAATATGCAGTGAAGATTATCTATAAGGTAATATTGAGGCCTTTATATTTAATCCCAGTGCATTCCTTTTGTTTGTCAAAGCTTTTTATTCTACAACTTGTCCTTTATTGGACATTTGCAACTGTTTCACTTCTACACAAAGTGTATTTGAAATTACGTTTAGCCACCATTAGATAATTTTTCAACCTTATGATATTGTTGTATTTTCCATTTATAATTCCTATCTATGTTTTTAGATGCTGGCTGCGCCTGGATACATACTTCATTTGGAGCTTCATAGGACCTGCTACTCTCATTATCATGGTAAGATACACCCCCACAGACACGATCCAAATGGCACCATGCATGCTGAGTGAGAGACTGTGACATGCTGGTGCAGGAGCCAGGGGTTACATTAAGGTGTTTGTTAATCCCACACAAGGTTCGCCTGAGCTCCTCAGCAATGTTAGAATAAGCAGAGGGAACTTTGTGTCAATTTGGTAATTCCCATTCACGGATTAGCTCTCGAGAAGTCACACATTCCTACAAGCTGGAAATCTCTGGAGGGGACATGGAGCATAAATCACTGCGCCTTATATAGATTATTATAATAACTTGGCAAAGTTAAGTTGTTATTACGCTTTCACTTTTTCGTCTAAAGATGTTTTTCCTCCAGACCCAGCTGTTTGACTGTAATGCTAGTTGAATGCAGGCTGCCAGAGAGTTCCCAGCTCTCCTACAAGAATGCTGCTGAATGAGTTTCAGCAGTCCCCAAACTGTTATGAGAGGAGACATTCTACTTTGAATAACTAAACAGCGACAGAAATAGAGTGAGGTGAGCCAACAGACACATGAAATGCTGTGTTTGATACAAACAGAATGAAACAATGGGACGTGTTCCCAGTTGCCCATTCACTATTGCTCTGCACTCAATTTAGAAATTACAGGCATGCTTTTGCCAATTTAGCTGGTGCAGGAATGAGAGAAGAGCATGTGTGGAAAGTACTGTGTACGACCTGAGCTGATTGGTGACGACCTATGAGATCCTAACGAAACAGTACAGCCAGTCATCACTAAAGCAGCCAATCTACACATTTGCGGCCAATCGAAAACACAGGATCTGTGAGAATCGTGCTTCTATTGTTACAGTGATCATTAGGAGATGTAATGACTGCTGTAGTATCCCTGGAGCTGTTGTATTTTGAGCACACAAAGATGTGTTGAACGTGTGCTGAAATTGTGTCCCCCAAGCCAATTACAGCTGGAGGAAAAATGAAATGATGTGCGCTGTTTTGGTCTTGTAAGTTGCTGCTTTGACATGCCGTCTTTTAATTAGTCTCTTTGCTGCAGAGAATCTAACATCCTCACGTGGATCTCTGTGTGTTTCAGCTGAATGTAATCTTCCTTGGCATCGCCCTTTATAAGATGTTCCATCATACAGCCATCCTCAAACCAGATTCTGGTTGTCTGGACAACATCAAGTAAGTTGCTCTATTTGTACCAGACTGCTACCACAAAGTGGTGTTTTTTGCTGAAAGTAGACAAGAGGGGGAAGGATTGTGTAAGTTTCAAGATGTTATTCTGAGAGCTAAAGCAGTTTGTCTTTTGAGAAAAACACTGAGGAAGTGTTTAGTTGCTTGGTAAATGAGTTTGATTCTGGTCTATGTAATTGTTATTTCTAACCAAAATAAAGTTCGGTCACAAATGGTTGGAAGCGTAGGGTTTAGTTGATAAAGCTGGATGTGTAAGCATGTTATTCAGTCAGTTGGGTTAGCTTAAGCATAAAAAAAACAATAGAGGGGACATAATGGAATTTATATCATTTTAAAGTAAAGGTAAAGGTAAGAAATGAACAACTAGATCATCACATATTTTTACTACACTATTACCTTTATTGCTCCAGTTGTTTCATATTTCTGCTTGAAATATGAATTTGAAAATAGATCAGGAGAAAAAAAAAACATGATTTGTTTGTGAAGATACATTTGCTGGTGAAGTAAGCTTGATAAAGCCATATTTACATGTGCAATATTGCTTTATTAGATTGAAAATGAATCAAATAATCTGGGGTGTATTTACCTTCAACAAGCTTTATTTATTTAGAATAGAAGCACACTCAGTTGCACAGAATTGCTAAATTACCCAAAAACCACCAGAAAAAAGGGTTTTGTTTTTTTGCCCAGCTCCAAAAAAAAGAAAGCATAAAAAATTAAAATGTTTTGGTTCCGAATGCCCTGAGCACCAAAAACAAACGCATCCAAAGTTGAGAGGGAAGTTTTGGTGTTACTGGTTTTCATAATGAGGCTACAGAATCAGTTTCTGGTGCTGCTGTTGTTCCAGCACTAAAGAATGAGAGAGTCTGAGGAACTTAATTCAATTAAATTCAGTTTGTCATATAGCACCATTCACAACACATGTCATCTCAAGGTATTTTACAGTTAAACTTAACATCTCTTAAAGTATAAGCACTGCTGGTCAATCCTCCACAAACATGTCAGTCAGATCAATTTTCCCTGACTCCAATAACATGAACGGAGCATGTTTTAGATGAATGCTTGTTGGATTACAGTATCTTGGCATAAATAACCTCTTTCAACTGGAATATAATTTCATTACAGCTCAATGCCATGGTAACATTCTGATTCGCATGTCTACTTGACACTTTTCTATTCTGATTATCACCTTTATTCCAAATACTTATGCCCATGTTAACCTAAATCAGTATCTGCTTTATCGCAATGACAGTTAAACTAGAACTCCAGTTTTTTTTTCAATCAGTGACCATGACTTACCAAAGAGCTACAATTAGCTGCTAACAACATTCTCTACAGAGGCAAGAAAACTGAAACATTGTTATTTTAGCAGGGAGCACATAGAACCATTCAAAACAAATCGTATTTTCAACATTTCAGGAGAAAAATCTTTTTAGGTGGATAACAGGAAGGGTGAAAAGAAGTGGACAGTGGATACTGAGGAGTGGTGTTGGGAACGATGCCATTAGCAGAATTTTTCACAGATTTGAATGCTATTGACACAAAAATGTCAGCTCTATTATTTTATTTTATTTTTTAAAGATCTAAATCATATATTAGCTCATATTTAGAAAATTAATTCACGCCTTTGGCAGGAGAGAAAATATAATAACTATTACAATAATAAATAATGAAATATTTTGAATATTGTGTCTATGCATTCCAAAGCTTCCTGCATAAATTCCATTTATAATTATATTATATTCCAATTTTTTTATTTTTTTTATTGTTCTTCAGCTACTTAAGTTACATTAAAGCTACAGTGTGTAACTTTTAGTGACATCTAGCGGTCAGACTGCAGCAACATGAACAACTCCCCCCCACCGCTTCTCCCCCCCCAACAGTACGGCGAACGTTACGGGACAAAATGTCCTCCACGACGTCCGCATCACCTACCTTCTCAAGTGATGAGGTTTGTTTACATAGATAATTTTACAGATAGTATTTCATTAGTCTATGTAGAGTATAGATTTCATGTAGACTTAAGATAATAAATATACCCGTTATTTTTTCTACATCGTTGTGACGTTTTGGCGATCTCGCAATCGCTAGTTTGTTGGCTCTGCGCTGCCGTAGCGCAAAGATGTCTGCCTCCATGGCTACGAGACCCGCTCCTATGTAATTATAAATAACGAATTCTAAGGCAACGCAAATATTAAGGTTAAGAGGCTGAGCTCGTAGATGATGATAAATAACATAGTTATGTATAATATATTACATTTCTGACTGTATATCCCTGTAATTATTACACACTGTAGCTTTAAACTTTTTCAACATCTGAGATATAAATGAAGCTCAGAACCTATGCTGTGTTTCAAAAATATTTAACGGGGGGACGTGACGCTGTGTGTGACAGCTCACCTGTCTGAAGGGAAGACAAGCGCAGTGTGTCATTTACCCTCAGGTCTCTCACCAAGGCTGTCTCTGTCACTTAGGTGAAGACTAATTAATGAAGTTACAAGTGCTGCCACCTGCATAAATGCACAGCGCTCTCGACAGCAGTCAGTAACCCTACAAAGCTGTAGATTCCATTAAAGTTAGAGGAGAGACTCCAGTCTACATCTCCAAGAAGCTACATTCAGATTTTGTTTTGTTAACAGAGTGTCAAAATTGAAGTGTTCTTAAAAAAAACTGTTGCAAACAGGCCTGTGTAAGCGAGCATGCTAGAGTTTAACTTGTAAACTATCTACTTTTCACTAAGTGTAATAACCAGTGCTACAATAACAGGCCAGGGTTTAGAATCATGGTAAAAAGAGAGTACGCTAACTTCAGATCCATGATATTATTCTAAAACAGGTTTAAACATAGCTATAAAATGCTCTAAATGTATGTAAATCTAACGTTAGGAGTGCAAAACACAAATATGAACTAGGAAGTAGTGGTGAGTATAGCTTCCTCAGGTAACACTATATATTGTGAAGTTTTTGCTGATGGATAGATGCTCTCAAATAAATACTCTGATATACCGCAGAACTGTTTGCTGACTCAGTACTTGCAAGTTGCCATGTGTTACAAAACAAGCCCAAAGTCCTTTTCTTAAAAATTGGCCTAGAGTACTTGTGCAAGTTGATGATTTTTTTTTTTTTTTTTTTTGTAGATAGATCAGATATGTCTGATCTATCTGGATTAGGCCATATAAATGAATGTAAGTAAATAAAATGTCCCCATATATCATGAAAAAAGCTGTTTGTTAGTGTGTGTGTGCTTTAGCCAACTTAATTGAAACTAAGCTGTCAAAATAAATGTGTAAAATATCTTTTGACACCTGTTCGACATTCTTCAAAAAATCTTGTGGTTCGTTCAGGTGCAGCTTTGCAAACCTAAGCAATTGCATAGTTGCTTTGGCAACCTTTCTAAATAAGCTCTATTAGTTTAGTCCTAGCTCTAGTAAACATTTAGCATTTCTAAATGTACTATGGAGTAATTATTTTGTTTTGTATTGCTCATCGATTGCTGAGCAGTAATAGTTGGTTCTCTGCTGTCATTGTCAAAATTTCTGCTCCTACAATCGTTGTCACACCTGCTAATGATCAGTTATTACAATGACGCATCTGACTGCTAAACTCCCTCTTAAACCCAAGCCAAGCACCAATGATGTCCTCATTTATTGAAGCAATGGTGTCCCACCTGTGCATGAGCTGTTTTAAGGATAATCTGAATTTAGAGGGATGTACTTTCTAAGGGCATCTGAAAAGAATTTTGAAGAAAACATAAATACAAAGACAAAAAGATGTGCATCTTTTATAATTTGTGAAAAATGACAGGAAAAGAACAAGAGAAGAAATAATATATTGTTTAAGTGTCAGTGTATTTTTTCATGACAACAGTTTTATGTAAAGCCTTGAGCTGGAGGTGTCTGAGAAAGACAGAAGTATCTGATCTTTGCTTTGTGCATTTCAGAGATAATGTGATTCATGGATAAGGGTTAAAACATCATTCAATTAGAGTCTGCACGTTATCCTGTAGTCTGCTATGTCTTAGAAAGCTGCATAGACTCATGTTAAATCTGTTTTTTTTTTTTTTCAAACGTCATGTTTTTTTTTTCTTTTATCCTTTTATCACAATCATGCTTTGTTGATTTTGGTTGTTCTTTTTATCTTCAATTTATGTTTCTTTCCTATGTTTTCTTTGTCTCTTTAATCTCATGCCACCCTAAGTTATCTTTGTTGTGGACTGGCTCTGGTAAGGCGTCTTTCCAGTCATACATTTTGTTTTATTTGTTTGTTTTTGTCTTGTTTGTGTGAACATACCACCCAGAATATTTGCCTCTGCCTATAAAATGTTTATATTGACCAGTAACTATCTTTCTGTTTCCAGTATATAAATATTTTCTTATAGTTGAAAAAATACTTTGTTACCATGGCAAGATATTCACACTCGTGATTATTTTCATATTATGTCACAGTACAGCCACAGTTTTCAGGTTTTCTCTTGGTATTGGATCTGACGGAGGTGTGCTGAAGACTACATAGTTCTTAGTGAATTAAATGAGGTTTAAAATCTGAAATGTAAGTTTTACACTCATTTTTTACACCCATTTACTCTGATAAGTCTAATGAAAAAACATTGAAACAAATAGCTGAGTTACAGCTTTTAGATCTTTAAAGCAGGGTGAGGCTGAAAAATGTTCTATCATACATTGAATATTAAAACAAAATGTTTTATTTTGAATTGAGAAAGCTAACTGGATGGCAAGCTTCAAACTCCAGTGGATTGCTTTTTGTTTCACTTTTTTAGAATATTTAAACCAGTTCATACAAAGAGTTTGGCGGAACTGCAAGGCTGTTAAACTTATGCAGACATCTACCCCTCAGCTGAAGAATTGTTTCCAAAACAACTAATAGACCTTCAATCTACAAACTTTCCATTTAGAAAAGAGTTCCTAGAGGAAATTGTTGATAGAAAGCTCTAAAAGGTCTTGTTTATAGTTTGCCAAAAGCCATTTGAGACATGCAGAATAAGGCTCCCTGTTCAAAAAAATTAAATTAGACTTTCTGGCCAACATTCAAACTGCTGTATGAAGAAAGAAAAATATCCTCCAAACATCCACCCTACTGTGAAACATGGGGGTGGTAGCATCAAACTGTGGGGATGCTTTTTTTCTCAGCAGGGATGAGGAGGCTGGTTATAGTTGATGGGAATGTGAATGTTGCAGATTCTGGAATCTGTTGTCTGCAAAAAGCTTAAGACCGGGATGGAAATGTTCCTACCATTCGGACAATGACCCTTAATATACAGCTAGAGCTACTGTAGAATTGTTTAGATCAAAGCTTATCACCCAGGCAAGTCCAGACATAATTTTAGTTAAAAAACCTGTCGCAAGACAAAAACTAATGTGTGCAGTCGCTTTGCATCTAATCTGATGTAGTTTGAGCTAAGAAAAATCTGGAAACACTGTAGACAAAGCCATTTGCAATACAACAAAGGATTAGCAGCTACTATTGCAGTAAAAGTTGTTTTAACTAAGTGTCGGTACAGGATGGCTGAAATCAAGCACACCTGCTTCCAGATACTTACCATAAGAATCACCAATTTCTTTTTTTTTTCTTTCATTTTTTAAGCCTTTATTACTTTGTCTTGGTCTATTACATCAAATCCCAATAAAATATGGGGTGTGCGTACTTTTGCAACGCACTGTATTACAATGTTGGTATTTGAATTTGGGGCAAACTATATAGGATGGAAACAATAACTCAAGGGGGATTTGGAGGAAGAGGTGAATGGTGGGATAAAAGAGAGATGAGTGCAGCCGTTATTGAAGAGGGTCATCAGGCGAGCTTTATTGGAAGTTCTGTCTCGCCTGAATGGTGCCACTGAGGGCAACATCGAATCAATCACCTCGGTCTCACTCACTTACTCTTCTCCTCTGTCTCCCCTCCTTTCTCGTGGTTCTTCTAATATCTTCCCCCTCGTATTGCCCCCTCCACCTCCACTTCCCTTCGCTTCTGTCCCTTGCATTAGAGGTGATCACTGCCCAGTCAGCCAATCAAATTAACCGTCATCTTCTCGGCTGTGGCGGACCCAAAAGTTTGACCTTTCGAGGGAAATGTCATTTGTAATGGCTGTAATGTCTCTCTACTTACTGCCCCATGAAGCCAATCACATTCACGCTCATACAGACGTGCACTTATGCAAGCACCTGCACAAATGTGCCTCAGCATGACTACGTTTCTATGACATTTGACCAATGAGTCATTCATTTGTAGGCTTTATTTAAAATAAAAGTTGCAGCCTTGAAAGCCCTTCTTTTGAGATTGAATTACATATAACAGTTAGAGTTCTGTATGCTATTCAAAGTGTTATTCTTTACCCATTTAAAACACTTTTGGACTGATTTATTTTGGCTGTAACTTGCTAAGAATCTGTAGTGTCTTTGAGAGCAGAGGCTGATGTACAGGTGCTGGTCATAAAATTAGAATATCATGAAAAAGTAGATTGATTTCAGTAATTCCATTTAAAAAGTGAAACTTGTATATTATATTCATACATTACATACAAACTCATATATTTCAGATGTTTATTTTGTTTAATTTTGATGATTACAAATGACAACAAATGAAAATCTCAAATTCATCATATCAGAAAATTAGAATATTGTGAAAAGGTTCAAAATTGATGGCCCCTGGTGCCACACTCTAATCAGCTAATTAACTCAAACCACCTGCAAAAGCCTTTAAATGGTCTTTCAGTCTAGTTCTATAGGCTACACAATCATGGGGAAGACTGCTGACTTGACAGTTGTCCAAAAGACGACCATCGACACCTTGCACAAGGAGGGCAAGACACAAAAGGTCATCGCTAAAGAGGCTGGCTGTTCACAGAGCTCAGTGTCCAAGCACATTAATAGAGAGGCGAAGGGAAGGAAAAGATGTGGTCGAAAAAAGTGTACAAGCAAGAGAGATAACCGCACCCTGGAGAGGATTGTGAAACAAAACCCATTCAAAAATGTGGGGGAGATTCACAAAGAGTGGACTGCAGCTGGAGTGAGTGCTTCAAGAACCACCACACACAGACGTATGAAAGACATGGGTTTCTGCTGTCGCATTCCTTGTGTCAAGCCACTCTTGAACCACAGACAGCGTCAGAAGCGTCTAAAGAGAAACAGGACTGGACTGCTGGTGAGTGGTCCAAACTCATGTTCTCTGATGAAAGTAAATTTTGCATTTCCTTTGGAAATCAAGGTCCCAGAGTCTGGAGGAAAAGAAGAGAGGCACTTCATCCACGTTGCTTGAAGTCCAGTGTAAAGTTTCCACAGTCAGTGATGGTTTGGGGTGCCATGTCATCTGCTGGTGTTGGTCCATTGTGTTTTCTGAGGTCCAGGGTCAACGCAGCCACATACCAGGAAGTTTTAGAGCACTTCATGCTTCCTGCAGCTGACCAACTTTTTGGAGATGCAGATTTCATTTTCCAACAGGACTTGGCACCTGCACACAGTGCCAAAGCTACCAGTACCTGGTTGAAGGACCATGGTATCCCTGTTCTTAATTGGCCAGCAAACTCTCCTGACCTTAACCCCATAGAAAATCTATGGGGTATTGTGAAGAAGAAGATGCAATACACCAGACCCAACAATTCAGAAGAGCTAAAAGCCACTATTAGAGCAACCTGGGCTATCATAACACCTGAGCAGTGCCACAGACTGATCGACTCCATGCCACGCCGCATTGCTGCAGTAATACAGGCCAAAGGAGGCCCAACTAAATACTGAGTGCTGTACATGCTCATACTTTTCATGTTCATACTTTTCAGTTGGCCAACATTTCTATAAATCCTTTGTTTTTATTGGTCTTCAGTAATATTCTAATTTTCTGATATGATGAATTTGAGATTTTCATTTGTTGTCATTTGTAATCATCAAAATTAAACAAAATAAACATCTGAAATATATGAGTTTGTATGTAATGTATGAATATAATATACAAGTTTCACTTTTTAAATGGAATTACTGAAATCAATCTACTTTTTCATGATATTCTAATTTTATGACCAGCACCTGTAATCTGGCTTTAGAACTCTTTTCCTTCTCCTGAGATGGTATCTAAACGAAGAAATCCACTCTGAGTTGTAAGGGTATAATTCTTTTAAGTTAACCTCCCACTGTTCCTCCAGCCCTCTCCCACAGTGTCAAGGCTCTCAATGAACCCACTCTGACCCCCTCTCTCCTGATCCCACATGCCTCAGCCTCGGCTGGCTGGTTTTTCTGATGCTGAGAGCAGGCAAACTTTTGCAAGTCTGATTCTCAATCGGCTGAGCATGCTGTAGCTAAGGGAGCATCGCTCGTTTTCAATTACTTCTCCTTTCTCTGTAGGTCCTGGGTGATCGGCGCAATCGCCCTGCTGTGTCTGCTCGGCCTGACCTGGGCTTTCGGCCTCATGTACATCAACGAGAGCACGGTGATCATGGCCTACCTTTTCACCATCTTTAACTCCCTGCAAGGCATGTTCATCTTCATCTTCCATTGCATCCTCCAAAAAAAGGTAAGTGGGCAGAATAGGCTAGGTTAAACAAATGAACATAAAGTCTAGTGGTTGCCAAAAGCTTGTAAACTGATATATATTTTTTTGATACAAACTTCATTGCTTTTGCATGGTAAGACTTTTCTGGCAGATGTGTTTGTGGTACGCCAGACGGCAGATATATAAGACTGGGTTCAGAAGAAAGAGAGAAGACTAGATTTAACAAATGTTTTATTAAACATCTATTCTATTTTGTTAAATTTCACATAGTAAAGCTATAATTTTTTAAAGAGGCTTTAATTAGTGTCAAATATTTCAATCAAGGTTGGACGTACATTGCTGTTTTAATGCATGCCTAAACAAGACAATGTAAAGTTATCAAGTTTAAACTCGATCAATCTAAATGTGAACAAGTTAATTTTCTGGTACTTTCTTTACACTGCAATTGAATCTGATCAGTCCTGTCACCAACCTAGAATCAAAGTATTTCACAGCATAAACTGCAGGGAAAAGGTATGTGAAAATGTTGATCGTAAATTGTAATGTCATGTCCTGAGGAAAAAAAAAAACGTTTTGAATTTTGGTCATTAAAAGGCAATTTACAGAGTGTCTTACAGTCTCTTATTGAATCCCCTTAGTTTTTTAATTTTTTTGCGTCACAACTTAAAATTGAAATTGATTTTTCCAAGAGTTTGCATCCTTTCATTCACAAAACCCTCTGCAGATATTTATTTTGTTTATTGTGAACACCCCGATATTTGTGTTATTGTGAATAACTGAAAACTTCAATGCACATAACTGTTTTAACCATATAAAGTTACTAGCCACATTTGGTGGTAATTACAACTGCAAGTCCCAGTGAGTTTGCCGCAGCCTTTGCCAGTCTTATTCTTTTTTCCCCATTAGGTCAAGGCAAAACTGCTGTAGTTCCTTCATTTTGGATGGATTTTGATGATGTGCAGCCATCTAGCAGACAAACTGTGACTTGGCCTGTCCAAATATAATATGCCTCCCTTAAACTGCCAGAGTTTGCTGTAGCGGCATGCATTGGGTCATTGTCCTGCTGTAAGGTGAACCTCCGTCTCAAGAATTACATATAGACAGGTTTTTCTTAAGTATATCCCTTTCCACTTCCTCAAGTTGGATCAGTTTACTTGTCCCTGCCCATGAAAAACATCCCCACAGCATGATGCTGTCAACACCATGTTGCTCTGTGGGGATTGAGTTCTTAGGGTAATGGGGTGGGCTGGGTTTGCAAAAGCGATGCTGTTTTTTCTTGGTGGCTAAAACAATCTAAGTCTCATCTCAGATTTGCCCTCATGTGTTTTTGAAAAGGCTGAATGTGCCTTCTTATTTTCAACACTTACCCAAGTCTATGCTGTACATTTATGCAACCCCTTCTGAGTTACCTTTGGTCTCTGTGCTGCTGCCTCTCTGATTAATGTCCTCCTTGCCCAGTCTGTGAGTTTCGGTGGGTGGCCCTGTCTTAGCAAGTTTGTTGTGGTAACATGTGCTTTTCATTTGAAGATGATGAATTTAAAGGTGCCTCGGAGAAACATAAACTATGGGTATTTTCTATACTCCTTCCTGTACTTCACAACAACTTTTTTACTCACGTTTTTGACTGTTCCCTGGTCTTCAACATGTGATGCCACTTGTTAACTGGTGTTGCAACTTCTAAGGCCTTTCTCAAAGGGTGTGTTTTTACTGATGGATCACATGACACTTGGATTGAACACAGATGGACTTAATTTGAGCAATTTATGTGACTTTTGAAGAAATTGGCTGCGCCAGAATCTTTTAAGGTATTCATGGCAAAGCGATTGGTGACATACATGTATATATATATATATATATATATATATATATATATATATATATATATATATATATATATATATATATATATATATATATTAGTGCTGTCAAAATTATCGCGTTATTATCGCGTTAACGCGAGGCCATTTTAACGGCGATAATTTTTTTAACGTGAGATTAACGCTATGTGGTTTTATGGTAAAATTTTCCAAGTACATCCCGCTGCAGCCTGCGGGGAGGCGGGGCTATTTTTCCCCAGTCTATGCATTTTCCATAGGCTTCGAGAGCGGAGCTCCTCAAGGAAAAAAGACGCTCATACACTGGGTAGCGCTAGTGCCTTTTCTTTAAGCCCCACCACCAACAAACAAGTTGAGTGTCTGGTAACTAGTAGCAACCTGAAATACGCTGAGAAAACAGATTACTGAGGTGAAATGGAATCTGCTACGGCACTCTTGCTGTCACAGGTCGGTATCGTGTGTGTGTGTGTGTGGGTGGGTGTGTCTGTGTGTGGGTGGGTGGGTGTGTGTGTGTTCTCATTTTTGTTAAGAGGCTGAAAAGTAACTTTCATAGACTACCTCCATCTAGTGATGTCGGTCTATTGATTTTGATGTATTGATTGAAAATTGTTCATTATTATCTTGGTTAATTAACATCTAATGTTAACTGTACTACATTTTATAGCAGTAGGGTAAAATGCTTGTCTTTGTTCAAAAGACTGTATTAACTGTAAAGACTGTCTTTTACATCAGCCTGTTTTCAGGGCCTTTTTTTTGGCTACATATTTGTTATTTTTTGCTACATGCCATCTTCTTGCCATATGTTTCTATGGCATAATCAGTATCTGTGACCTGTTCTCATTTAAAAAAAAGAACATTGGCACAAACCTAGCCTGTATGTATTTTTTGTATGTCATCGAGAGTATTTAAATGATTTTCAATCAGAAAAAAAATTTGCGATTAAAATGCGATTAATCGCGAGTTAACTCAGGCATTGATGCGATTAATCGCGATTAAAATTATTTAATCGATTGACAGCACTAATATATATATATATATATATATATATATATATAGTTAGACTATGTTGAACAGATGCATCACAGAAAATGCATTAAAAAAGTTTCAGTTACAGGTTTGGATGTATCAAACTATTTAAAAAAGTAAGGCGAAGGGTACTTTTGCTAGTTTTTGTGTATATGTACAATACTGTGATGTTAAAGCAGCAGTTATAATCCACTAAAGATTTATATCTAACTTTTCTCAAATTAACTTTAGTTTTGCCTTTTATCTACAAAATGCTTTGGGTTGAATTACCTAAAGGACTTTTGGATGATTTTAGGAGATATTGTTTTTTCTTTGCTGCTTTTTAGGAGTTACTGCAACTTCCAGGCAGAGCTGAGACATCATGGCATCAAAATTTTAACAGGTCTTCCACCCACTCCGAGTTAGTGCCGTGCCGTAGAGTACAGAAGAGGCACAGGATATGGGAAGAAAATGCATCAAATCCTTAATACTCTTGTCTGGCTGCAGTCCTGCAGAGAGTTTTGAGTTCACAATGTAGATATATGTGTGGGTGTCTGTGTGTACGTGTCTGGTTAGGGGATCAGCTATCCAGAGAGAATATGCTGAGGTTTTCTTTGGCCCAAGCCCAACGCAGTTTCTCCCAAGATGCATGGAGCAACTCTGCACGCAGCTGTTCAAACAGAGCATGTGGCAAAACACGTCTGCCAGTCCAACAAGCTTGTTAAAAATCAATTACGACTTTATTTGTTCTAACTTGATTGGGATCTAAGTGCAGATGATCTGTGTGTACAAATGCATCAAGCCCCTCTCCAAGGAGTATGTCCATTTCGGTCGTATGCGTGGCTTTTTGGGGAGGGGGTTGGTGTTAGGAAAGGAAAGTTTATGAATTTAATCTTTTAATGTCTGCTTTTTAATGGGTTAAATGGTTACTCAGGGAATATGAGTGAAAGAAGTGCTTATTCTACCCTACTGTGTGCGAATGAAATATATTCCTCAGGATATTCAAGGCTGAGGTTGTACTTTGGTCAGGTTAACATCATTTTATTGTGATTAATTCCCAATTCCCTTTCCATAGGTCCGTAAAGAATACGGCAAATGCCTACGTACTCACTGCTGCAGCGGCAAGAGTGTGGAGACGTCCATCTCCTCATCCAGTAAGACCACCACCTCACGGACCCCTGGCCGCTACTCTACAGGCTCACAGGTGAGCTTACCTGCCTGCACACCTGGACGCTACAGTACAGCAGATTCACAGGTGAGGCCAGAGTGCGCCATAAGGGGTTTGGGATTATCATCTTTCAACTTCTCAGAAAATCTTTGAAAAATGCTGCTAGGTCTCTCTAAAAATGCTAGTACCACCTAAACCTTGTCACAAATTTTCATGTTAGAACATGAAATATTCTAACATTTCATGTTCTAACAGCTGTAGTCTCTTATTTAGAAGGATTATTACACAGGGTTATTGAACAGGGGATTAACATGGGACAATACCAGTAATATACATTTAATTTATTTTACTGGTATTGTATTTGATACACAACATAATGCATGACATACTTTAGGGAAAGGGATACAAAGTTTTCCTTAAGTCAATTCTAAAAAGTAGTGTGAATTCAATCCTCTCAGTCATTAATTAGATTAACAACCTTTTACTGCAATTCAAGCTGCAGGCCTTTTTATGGGAATCTTATCAGTGGAAGAAAAATATGTGGATTTGAATTTGTTACCAACAAATTTTCCTGCTTTTAAAGCTCTCATAAATGACTGATCCAATGTGGTGGACACTGAAAGGGTGTGGGGCTGAGACACACTTAATATTAAAAGAGTTCATATGGCATTTAATGAAAGAATTTTTATCAGAAACATAATTAATGTGCACAAATAAGGAATAGTCGTATTAAACATACAAGTAAACTGAGTTTTATGGGGCCTCCAGGAACTTGGGTTCCTAGGCAATTGCCTAGTTTTGCCTAATCATAAATCCGCCCCTGGTTGTGGTGTCTAGCTTATCCAAAAACTATGAGTAACTTGTGCATTATGCGTTACTTTTTAAGAACTTATCTCCAAAGCATATCAACGTATCTGACCTGTTACAGACGACAGCTGAATGTGTTTCTAAATTACAGCTACTATATAATGGTGTATTGGTAGCATTTTGGTATAAAAGGGGGTTCACAGGAGGAAACCGTCAGTTCTCCTCCAGACTTAACCCCCATCATAGGGTGAGCGAGAAGGTGAGTGTGATGGATCCTCCCTGCGTTCATGCCGACGGCCACAACCAACAAACTTCCTAGCAGACATGACGCTGAATCTGCTGCAAATGCAAACCTTCATTCTTTCTTTTTCTTATTTCTTATTCTTTTTTTGGGGCATGCGGTAAACAGCAGCTAGGGTAATACCGCTATCAAAAACATCTTTTTATGCAGAGCGGGCGCCTTCGGGCGCAGCAATGCACTCCTGAGGGCAGCAGCTGTAGCTGATGCTTCATAATGCTCATGAAATAATGCTTTTCACATCATTTCATGAGCATTACGCAGCCGTGCGTTATGCATAAGCTAAGCTGTCGTTAGAAGTTCTTGACTCTATGAATACGCTGTTTAAATCGGCATGGTGTGACAAGGCCCTAAGTCAAAAAGTTTGACTTTGGTCCCGTAGGAGCAGAGCGACTAATCCATGATGGTTGATGTGTTCCCTAACAGAACACTTGAAGCTAAAGTTATGGTCGAAGGTCAATGATGCCACTCTTCAATAAAAGCCATATTTCTCAAGTGCACAAAAAAAGATTTTCAGACAAGTAGATTTTAAATATGTTTTTTCTGTAAAAAAAAAAAAATCCAAAATGTATCTTTAAATGATCCACAGGACTGTATGCAGCATAGATGCTATGTGTATTGGTCTTTATGATATTGTCTGTTTACTTATGGTCTATGAAAAGACCTTCAAAGAAGAACAGGATTTATACTAAGATTAGATTATACATAGATTGACCTTATCATAAAATAATGCAGTCCCAAAAATCTCAAAACTACATTTATAAGTAGTGTTTTGCAAGTTATAAATTGAAAATAAGTTGCTTAATTAAGTTATTTGTCAAACACTATACTTTTCTATGCAATTAATTATATTTGCTGACTTTATTTTTTTTATCTTGAAAGTGCGATAACCCAAACCCCATTCAACATGGACACTATTGCTGTCATTCAGGTTTACATAGTAAAAATGATACTGATGCAGGTTTTTTCCTCTCTTGGTTGTTGCTTTGCTTTTTTCCTCTACGGCCTCTCCTGCCTTTGTTTTGCACATCATATCCCACCTTTTCTTACCTAATTTCTTCCCCTTTCTCTCATCTTGTTCTTCCTCCTTTCACTTCCTGTCCCCTTTTTTTTTGCTCCCTCCCCCTGTCACAATTGTTTTTTTTCTTTTTGCCTTTGTGCGTGCCCCACTGCCCTCACCCCTGTTCCCCAACACTTTCTCTCCTGGTTTCTCCCACGCGTAGAGTCGTATCAGACGGATGTGGAATGACACTGTGAGGAAACAGGAGTCCTCCTTCATCACTGGAGACATCAACAGCTCCGCCACGCTCAACAGAGGTAACCACGGGATACCTACCATTTGCCTCCACATCACTGTCACCACATCTACTTTACTAATAGCAGGAGGGGTTGGAGGCTTTATACGCTGTCATTTAGCAAAGTAGTGGGAGTCCAAACTTCTGATTATTATTGTATCCTTGAAGCAAAAATGATAAAGAGAATAAGGTGTAAATATTGCTTCCTGTTTTTAATGCAGCTCTGTGGGGGGGTTTGCACAAAAAAAATTAAAAAGCTGCAACCTCCTGTCAAAAATAGAATGTCAGCCAATTTGCAACTCTTTAAGAGCGGTAGGCTAGAACTGCAGGAGATATCAGCATTGTTAAAGGCCTGTGTTAAAGCACTGTAAGGAAAACAATTTAGTGGCTGTTTATCAACTGGGATTAACACAAATGATACTCCTTTTTCATTAAACTAAATTCTTTTTAGATATAATACACCAACACAAAGTTATGTATAGTTTTGAAATGCAAGAAATGGAAAAATTTTATATTTTTTGTTCAATTTCAAAAATAAATTGTTGCATGCATGTTTATCCATCCCGTCTGAACAAACGCTTCATATTTGCATCTTATAGTGCAATTATAGCTGCAAGTCTTTGTGGGGTAGGTTTTTTTACGGATTTGCACAATAATTTACTGACATCTATTGCCCACTCTTGTTTGCATAATAGTTTAAACTCAGTCTGTGTGGAAAAAGAGTTACCAAACAATAATTTTCTCATTCTTATCACCAAATATTAGTGGTAGACTTTGTCTGAGGATTTCTAGTGCCTGACACACAAATCCAAAATATGTATTAAACCTCTGATCGATTGTATATTTGCCCTTCTAGAAGGTGAACTTTTGAGTAAATTATTTTGCAACCTCCAAGAGGTTTACTTCCGGTATTTAGGTCTTTCTCTGTTCCTATCAGCTCCAACCAGTCTCACTGTTGAGAAAATCCATCCCCACAGCATAGTTCTGCCTCTTTTAAAATTCAGATGTGTTCAGGGAGGCTTATGATAGCGTAAAATTCTTTTGTTAAAGCATCTTTGTCTCATACACTTTTTTTTCTTTTAACAATGGCTTTTTTCATTGGTTCTTCATAAATCACTGATTTGTAGTGTATCTGCCTGAAAGTTATCTGCAGTTGTCATAAACACATCCTCACACATTAGCTGTGAATATATGCAACTTCTCTACAGTTACCATTGACTTTTGCCTTTTTCTCTAATTACTTCTCTCTTTTTCGCAGTGACTTTAGATGAATTGCCATCTAATGATAAGGTAGAAGTTGTGCCATATACTTTCCATTTCAATGACAGGAATGGATAAGGTGACTTCTGATGACAGATAACTGTACTGCAACTCATTCAGGAGCAGTACAGGCTAGAGGATGGGGAAAAAATGTTAATTACCTTTTTAATTTTTTTTTTTTTAATTTAAAACTATACATCAATTTCCATCCGTTTTCCAACTATGCATTACTTTGTGTTGGTCAGAAATGTTCAAAGGGCATAAAAACCCTTGTCAGGCATAATAATTCAGTTTATACATAAATTAGTAAATAGATGATTACAGTACAGTTACGCAAATTAGTTTATTCAGTTAAGCCGATCCTATTTAATCAAGAATAATATAATTAGAAGGCTTTTCGACAAAGGCATAGCATAGTTAAAGATATAACTGACATTTTCAGAGCTGCCAGTTTTCTTCACTTCAGCCTAGGACATTATAATGGACCATAGTAGCAGAATCCATAAGCACGGCTGTCTTTGGGCCAGTGTAATGAGGGTGTAGACACCTAAATGGCCAGACAGTCTGACACACACACACTCACTGGAAAAGCACTCTGCCATTTGTTAGTCTCTGAGTTGAGGGGTGGCCCTCGCTTTCTTCAGGCCACTAATAAGCTGTTAGCATGACAGATGGATACTAAAGCAGGCACGGTGCGTGTCAGCGCTTGAATTATCACGCACTTAGTGAGGCTGGGCTTAGGAAACTAACACCTCCTTTTTGCCCTCACTCTTTTAAAGTGTGCTGCACAGAGCAGCTCAGCCAGTACATTTTGAAACTAGAGAGAGTGACATATTGAGTGAGAGAGAAATCGCATTACATTATTTCAGTTTATTGAAATTTGTTGTTGCATGAAGAGAGAAATCGCTTAATTGCTAAATTGTGAAATGTGCTTTATCTGATATCATTCAGACAACAGTATTACCAACGGTTCTCAGTAACAGCATTTATTGATAAGATAATCCCAAGTGATGAGGGGATTTTACCAATCAAACATACTAGAATAATGGAAGCAGCTCTTAATGACGACTGAATGAATCCCAGCATAGGCGTAATATGGAAAGTGCCAAAAGTCACACTAAATTATTACTAAATAGAAAACAACAGTATAAAGAATAAAATTGAAACTGTCATGAAGCTGTTTGTTTATATTATCTTTGTGTTGTTTAAGTCACTCAACCTCTCACCTGTCAGTAGCCTTGAAACAATCAGAATCATATTTTTCAGACGGGTATTTTTTCTAGACTGTTTTGAACTGATTAACTTTGACAGCTCTAACTCCACACATTGTCTCCTTGAGTTATTCATAGAGCTTTTCAGGCATCATAGATAAGAAACTTAAAAAAGAGAAGATATAACTATTCCATCAAAAAATGTCATTAAATTGCCTAGTAGCAGAGCAGCATAGATGGTTAGTTGTGCTCTTACACCACCACCATACTTCCTCTAATAGATCTACAAAACTATTAACTCCTATAATTTTTTAACTGTTTATTTATACTAGGGATGTCTAAATTATAGCATTTTGGCTGGTTTACTTTCTATACCTCTGTGTCATCACACTCCATGCAGGCACATTCTGCACAGCCAATTTTAAAAAAGCTTAACAATGACATTCAGAGCACAGATGGTTTTGGTTGCTGCAGCTTCCTGTTTGTCTGTGCTTTTAAGCAGGGCCTGTATTCACAAAAAAACCTTGAAAAGTAGTTCTTAGTGGCATCCTTTTAGGGATAATCTTTTCAAATTAAGTTTTTTTTTTTTTTCAGAATTGCACATACCTCTAATTGAGCTCCTTAAGTAATGACATTTTAGGAGTGGTGACTACAACTTTAAGTTTTTCTAAAAGTATCCTTTGCAGAGAAGGTGGCTGAAAAAGAGAAGGCTTTTTGGGTTATCCACTACCTAAACAGTAGAATAAATGAGAAATAATATTTTAACAATGATATTTTTGCTAATATGCACATAAGATCAAATGTATCATCTCCATAGGGAGAAATAAATTAGTTTAATCAGCCAGACAAGAGGTGCAAGTCTAGCGAGGCAATATAATAAACTAGAAAATTTCTAAAGAAATTTTGAGGGGGGCCACCTACTGCCCGTCTGGGTAACTGGGCCAATACGGCCCTGGCAAGTGACATTGGGGCTCCCCAGACCAACTGCTTACGCCTTTGAGGGCTGCTGAGGGAAGGAAAGAGGGCTAGGTCATGGGCAAAGAGAGCTGTGTGCCACTTGTGCTGAAATCTGGGAAATAGACGTGCACAGCATATGATGCACAAGGGTAATATGGGTTGTCCATATTGAACCGCAGTGGGTAAAGCGCAGTTGGCGGGCTCCGCCCGCCTGCTAGGAGCCCTTGCAGCGATGAAAAAAATCACCAATGGCGGGCTCTGCCCGCCTGCTAAGAGCCATTGCAGTGATGAAATCACCAATGGCGGGCTTCGCCCGCCTTCTAAGAGCCATTGCAGTGATGAAATCACCAATGGCTATGAGCAATATGCCAGAATGTATGAGTGTGTATAAGGAAGAGGCTTTTATTCTGTAGAGTCCCTGTAGTGTTATTTTGAAAGTCTATCATGGATGTGCATCAAAAGATGGGTCATGCCCAGCAGTGATATAGAATCCATTTCCAAATGTTAAATCACTGGTTTTCCATGTTATTAGGTGAATAGCTGCTGTATTACAGAGTAAATGGGAGACTTTTATTGTGAAATTTGCTCTGGGGTGTGTTTTGAAAAGGTCACTAGAGTCTAATAAAAACAACCTGGAAGAGTTTGGGTCATAATGTTGAGCCATTTGCATCAATTATTGCATTAGTATAATCTAGAGGCTTTTATTTTGTAGGGTCCCTGTAGTCTTATTTTGAAAGTCCAACAGAGTTGTGTTTAGAGAAAATGTTCAGACCCAGCAATGATAGTTGATGACTTTCCAATCGTTAAATCACTCTTTTTCCATGTTATTAGGGCAGTAGATGAAGATGAAATGGGAGGCTTTTATTTTGAAATTTGCCTTAGGTTGTGTTTTAAACAGTCTCCTAGAGTCTATTCTCTAAAATGGGGTTGAGTTTGGGTCATAATGTTGAGCCATATAGGGCAATAAATATATGTAAAAAATATAGAGGCTTTTATTTTGTAGGGTCCCTGGAGTCTTATTTTGAAAGTCTATCAGTGTTGAGTGGCAAGGGAAGTGTCATGGACAGCAGTCATATAGTATCCATTTCCCAATGTTAAATCAGTGCTTTCACCCTCCATTAGATTAATATGTGCTGTTTAAAACAGCAGAGGTAAAATCTCTTTGAAGCACGGTTACCTTGACAACGCTTAACGAGCCTGTCAGTGACAGAGAGAAAAGCGCAGCACTATCGTTCCTTAGCTCTCAGGCTTTTTTGAATGGGAGCAACAGCTCCGAACAAACGACTGCTTAGCAAAAACCGTATGAGTTATTCAAAAAATTTCTTCACCGTGAGCGTCAGCAATCCTTCGACTCCAACTATGCCAACTTTGGTGTATGTGTGTCTTTCTGAACAATATTTATGACGAGTTGAAAACACATAATGTCATTCGTTTTTCTCCCCACTGCTGCTCCAAAACCAATGAAAAACGGCTCTGATTTTCATCGACTTTAGGTAGGTCTGGAGGGTTTTTAAGGAAAAGTATTAATCCTACCGTAATTCCGAAGACATTGTGTGAGTCCAGAGGTTTCAGCCTACAAACTGACCAAAAATGGTGACTGTAGCTCCAAATATGTGGCCGTGAGGCAAGAACAAAATCTTTTATCTTAAAAAAACGGCCGCCTCACACTAAGATGTCAGCAGCTGCACACTAGCAGGCTGCTGCAGAAGCTAACTGTCAGCTAGCTTCCAGGTGCTTACCCTCCAAACAAACGACTGCTGAGCAAAAACCGTAAAAGGTATTTGAAAAATTCTTTCAGTGAAAGAAACATCTATCCTTTGTCTCAGACTGGGGTAACCTTCATGTCTGTAGGTCTTTCACAACCCAAAACGAAGCACAAACAAAATGGTGGGTCCCACCTGCTCCTACCATTGGTTTAACTGCAGCAGCTCCTCTCTCATCTTTTTGCTGCTAAAGCACCCCTCCGAACAAACGACTGCTGAGTAAAAACCATAAATGATATCTGAAAAATTCTTTTTATCTAAGCGACAGCTATATCTTGTCTTCAATTGGAGTAACTTTCATGGCTGTAGGTCATCTACAACCTGAATGGGAAGAGAAAGAATAAGAAAAAACGGGTCCTCAGTCCTTAGCTTCTAACTGAGCTAGCTACAGCAGCTCACTGTCACCCAGCTTTCTGGTGCTTAAAATGTCCTCCGAACAAACGACTGCTGAGCAAAAACCGTATGAGTTATTCAAAAGATTCTTTCACCGTGACCGTCAGCCATCCTTCGACTCCAACTATGCCAACTTTGGTGTATGTGTGTCTTTCAGAAAAATATTTATGACGAGTTGAAAACACATAATGTCATTCGTTTTTCTCCCCACTGCTGCTCCAAAACCAATGAAAAACGGCTCTGATTTTGATCGATTTTAGGTCGGTCTGGAGGGTTTTTAAGGAAAAGTATTAATCCTACCGTAATTCCGAAGACATTGTGTGGGTCCAGAGATTTCAGTCTACAAACTGACCAAAAATGGTGACTCTAGCTATAAATATGTGGCCGTGAGGGCGAGTTTAAAATGTTTTTTGGTCTTAAAAAAACGGCTGCCTCACACTCTAGCTTTTCAGTCTCTCCACTCTAGAAGGGTGGATTTTGCTAAAACTTTGTGGCGCTTGAGGTCTGATTATACAAAAACCGTAGCAGTTATCAACATGCCGTCTTCAGTTTTAAATAGACGAAGGATTTATCTACAAACTGAGCTTTAAACTGTTTTTCTACATGAATGTATGCCGACACAGTGAAGTGCTGTTTTTTATGCTTTTTTTTCCCTCTCCCCATTCATTTCCTATGGGATTTTTTTTGCGACGTTTTCGCTAATAATTCGCGAACCTTCGGACTAATGAGAAAGTTTTATACAAGCACGCATCGCACCATTGGTCCCGACGCGTGTGCCAACTTTGGGCCCGATCCGCCAAACCGTGCGGGACTAGTTAGGTGCCGAAGTTTTGGTGGCGAGGAGAACTATAAGCTAGTATAATACGCGGAATAAATATGTGAGATAGTAGTAGGTGGGCCATGCCTTCGGCATGTGGCCCCCCTAACAATGAAAATAATAACAATATTAAATAATCATTAATATAAAAAGTAGAAATGTAAATTCTTTGTAGAACAATTTTTGACACAGGACCTATAACACGATGGGTGGAAAATAGCATTAATACTATGTTGACAAAAACTTCCCTTCTACCCAGAGAGATGATTCTATTCAAAAAATGATCAAAGCATCGAAGTACTCTAGGTTAAAGCTTGGAATTGTACAGCAATTTGCAATAATATAGCAATAATAATTTTTAAAAAATGTTAATCCCTTTGATCCTGCATTCAGGGACAGCAAACGTCCAACAAACCTTCACATTCAGTAGTCTGAGACCTTAAGGAACAAAAGCAAAGAAACAGGAATGTTTTTGTAGCAAAACAAAATCCTAGCAACCTTAGCTTTTGCAAATAGTAAAATGTAAAGATAAACATTCATGTATTATGCTAAAGTTTAATGTTAAAATCATTAGGAGGCTTTAGTGTCACAGTTAACTGTAAGACGACAAATGCTTATTTATGGGTTAAGTTTGCAGGCCATGTGTTATTCGGTCTGAGAGGAAACAGAAATGACCAGTCAACATCATTTGTATTCTGTGTTATTTTTCTAAATGTAGTGTCTTAATGTATACATGATATGATTTCTGGCGGGGGAAGAGATGCACTGAGAACAGTTTTTTTGTAACCCTTCTGCCCATTAACTATGGTGTATTCATGCATCTTTGCTGAAGCGTGTTGAACTGCAGCACAGCCTGCTCTGAGCTCTGCCACACTACCGTTGCCTCTCTGTCTCCCATCCCCTCTCCTCACTCGGCCTGTAAGCATGGGCTGCAAGAATTACTTGTCGAGCTTTTTCGCAGCTTTCTCCCTAAACTGTGTTAGCTTGTTTGATTCACGTGTCCTCTTCTCTTCTTCTTTCTTCCAAACACACACTCGCTCTCCATCTAAATCTCCCTTCTTTTTTCCTCCTCCTCTCTCTGCTTACCTTCACTCTGCAACGGCTACATACTCTCTACTTTAACCTCTGTCTTCCACTCGGCTTCTTTTTTACTGCATTTCTCCCTTTTTCTCTCTTGACTTGGCTGTTGCTTTTCTTCTCTCCTCCCTTTTCTCTCGCCCTGGCTGCTGCTCTTTCTCTCTCTTTCTCTTTCTGCCTGTACCAGGAGCCATGGCTAATCATCTTATAACTAATGCTCTCCTTCGTCCCCATGGTACTAACAATCCCTATAACACTCTCCTGGGGGACTCGGCAGTCTATAACAACCCAGCTGTGGGCATGTACAACACCCAAGGTGTGCCTAATGTTCCTATTATAAATGTTTAACTTTTTTGTGCTATTTTGTATCTGTATATTTTGCATGGCTTTTCTACTTGGGAATGTTTAAATGAATACCTTATAGTTCTGCTATGAGCTGAAAAGTTTCATTGTAACTTGCATGTATACTGTATAATTAGCACTGATTGTGTTTCTTTACTGTTTTAGTTATAAGATGACATTATTTTTTATAAGCTGCTTAAAATCCTTAAGATGGATCCTAACATTTGTTGTTAGAAGTAGTTCAGTGTTGTCAGTATCTCTCTTAGCTGTAGGTGACATTATTGTCTTCTTAACGTAAAATCTGAATAGTTTCCCTTTTGCTTAGGACAGATTTTTTTTTCTCTCAACCAAAACCAAAGTAGTGTTAGAAATATTTTTTCCAAACAGACCTTATCCGTTTCTCCTTTTTTTTGGTCTCACTTAACTCTTTCAGATAAAAAAAAAAAAAAAAGTCTAACATCGGACAAAATTTAAATAAATCAAGAGAGGGTTACAAATGTACTTTTTTTTTAACGACGGCCTTGTAAGAAAATTAACTTCCCCACTTTCTAATTATTAATAAAGGCAATTAAGCACAAAATCTGGCTAAAGTTCTTTCTACACAAACTGAGGTTGATTATGATAAGTCTACACGTACATGTAGTAGAATAATGGAATATATATATATATATATATATATATATATATATATATATATATATATATATATATATATATATATATATATATATATATATATACACACAGTGTTGTATAAAGTACTGAATTCTCGGAGTCAAGTAAAAGTATAAGTACCTCTACAAAATATTACTTTGGTAAAGTCACTGACTGAAATGTTACTTGAGTAAAAGTCTTCAAGTATCTGAAATCGCTTGTACTTAAGTATAAGAATTACTGTAAAAATAGATGTACTCAAGTAATGTAGTGAAAAGTATAAGTAAAAAGTAGTGCAGTTTGAATGACAATGTTTTACATTTTGGTAAACTTAGAAGGTTAAATTCACTTAAAATAATATAAACAACAAAGTGTAGGTTAAATTTAGACTGGCTTTGCGAAACAGGTGTATCCTATTGGTGTTGATGAACAAGCCCAGGCAAGACCCGACTTTGTAGTCAGTAGGTGGGGTCAAAACACTTGCGTTTCTCTCGCTCTCTCGCTCGTTTTTTTTTTTATTTTTTTTTTACTTAGTAACTAAATCAAAAATTTTAAATGTATCGTAAAAGTATGCAATTAAGTTTGAAAATGTAGTGAAGTAAAAGTGAAAGTTGTCAAAAAAATGTATACTCTTGGAAAGTATAAAGCACTCCAAAATATATTTAAGTACAGTAGTAAAGTATTTTTACTTTGTTACTATACAACACTGTATATACATATATATACACAAATTCAACAAGGCACACTTAGATAAGAAAACCAAAATATGGAGGCCAGATTTCATTAAAATTAAGCAGAACTCTGTGGTAAAAGCTGGTTAATTCCCGAAGCCTTTATAGGATTTGGGACTCCGGTAACTTATAACCTTACCCTAAGTGGCCAGATGCCCTAAATCATGCATCCCAAACCTCGGTCCTCGAGGCCCGCTGTCCTGCAGGTTTTAGAGGTTTTCTTGCTCCAGCACAGCTGATTTTAATTGAAAGCTGATTAACAGGCTTTTGGTGTACTGCAATCATTATAATCAGCTATGCTAAAGCAGGGAAACCTCTAAAACCTGCAGGACAGTAGGCCTCGAGGACCAAGGTTGGGGATGCCTGCCCTAAATCACTTCAAGAGTGCATCAAGACTCATCATCATCTTAATAAATAGAACTCTTTCTTGGGCCCTGTAGGCCATGCTTACTTAAGTTCAGATTATCAGTGTTTAGTATTGAATATTAAGAAAGAGATCCGTTCAGTATGTTAACAGCCTGAAAAAAAGAAACAAGAATTCTCTTCCATATGTTAAATGTGAGGGACATGGTACAGCCCGACCTTGGACGATTGTTACAAAATCCTCAGCTGTGGCTGGATGAAAACAATTACAAAACCCAGAAAAGGCCACTGGCAACGATGTAAAGGACTCATTGCCTGTTATCACAGGAAGCTCCATGACAGTTGCTGCCCTCAAAAGGGTTGCATGGGTGGTAAGTAGGGTTAGAGGACAATTAGTGCTTTATTTTGAGACAGATTGATTTGAATAGCTTTTTAGTGCAGTGAACGACCAAATAACTGGCTTTTCAAGTGTGCCAATAACCACCAGTTCCGCTTCTGTATAACTGTATACCAATAATAATTGTTTGTAATTGCTTTACAATTTGAGTTTTGCAATTAGATTACTGGGATATTCGGCAAAAAATATGTAGTTGTGTTCAGGAAGTAGTAGCAGCATTAACACATCTCTTGGAAAAATAATGAATAGTAAAACTTATGGAATGAACTTGAACCTATAGGGTAAACTTTACATTGTCATTGTTCTAGAGTTAAAAAAAAAATCTCTTGAATTGTCCCTGCTGTAATAAGCAATTAGCTTTAAATCTGAGTCTCAAAAAAGAGATGGCTTTGACCTTTATGCTCTGCAGATAGGAGACATATAACTCAATTATAACTTAATAGAGCTTAAAGGGGAATATTCCTTTATATATCACAGTTTGTCCTTGTTTTTGTGTGCATTTTTTGTATTGTGATCCTATGAATTGCATGTTGCCCTGCATGCTTTATGCCAGATATATTTACAATAAGAGAATGCAACTGGTATTTTTATTGTTTCTATATGTGTGAAACAAAGATAATCCCTGAGATTTATAAGACTGATAATTAAACAATCCCCCTTTTTGAAGTAGTACTTTCAGCCTATAAACTAGCATGTATCTTTCTTTCTCTCTTCCCTCCCATGCTATCCATCAGCACCTTACCGAGACACAAGTATGTAATTCATTTATCCTGAGCTCTTCAGCAATAGGTTGTTTATTATCTTTTGATAGTTTTAGAGCTGTCCAAAGAAACAATTTTAAGCTCACAAAGAATTTATTTTCAAAAAAGTCCTTTCATTAGTACATTATTTCATACCTTCAGGTCATTTGGATTCAGTTCATTGAAATCAAAATCTATTGTCTGTAATTTAAAAAAATAGATACTTAAGAGCAAATGTTTTCTATGTACTTAAGTATACATGAAAATCTTATCAAATTGCAGTGAAACCTTTACTTTTTATTTCACTTACTTTTTTAATTTTTTAACCTTAAAAATTGAATATGAAAATTACATGAATAATAAATAAGCGTAGAAATTAAAAACCTTTTTTGTTGTTTAGTTACGATTTTTAATAATTGCTTCTTTTTTCATTCCTTGCCTCACAGAGAGCATCCTGAACAACGCCAGGGATGCTAGTGTTATGGATACTCTTCCTCTTAACGGTAACCATCCGAACAACTTCAGTATGGCCAGCAGCGAGTACTTGAGCGACTGCGTTCAGATCCTGGATCGGAGCAGCGGTTACGGTACCCACAGTAACCACAAAGAGACAACTTTGGAGAAGAAGATCCTCAAGGAGCTGACATCTAACTACATTCCCCCGTACCTCAACAACCATGAGAGGGCTACCACAGAGCGTAGTCACAACCTGATGAACAAGCTGGTCAACAGCAGTATGGCCAATGGAGGTGACTGTTTTCTTTAATTCATCATTGAGGAGTTGACCTAACCTTGCTCTGCAAGCTGGATGGTCACGAGATCTGAGTTTTCAGTCTCACAACAAAGATTCTTTCTAATATGCTGGTCGCGTTAAAACCAGTGAGTGGGATCAATGACATGCCAGCAGTGTTTTTTTGGGGTGCGACATGTAGGAATGATGACAGTCAGAGGGACCGGGGCATACACTTGAGGACTCACCTGTCAATACCCCAATTGACGCTGTTATAGATAAAATAGGGACAATTTGTCATTGAAAAAGGAGCAAAGAGAAGCAACTTGTGCATTAGATGGGAAAGATGTCTGTGCTTTTTTTCCCGCCAGGATTTGGAAAAGTTTTGAATTTTCAGCGTATTCGGCTAGTTGTGAAAACACTCAAGAAACTGCAGACGAATCACTCTGCTACGATTGGCTGAAAGCGTATTATGGAACGCGGGTACTAACTGGCACGTCACCCAATCAGATTGAAGTACTGTATTAAACGTTCCTCCTTTTCAGGGACAGACTAAACGGTAGCCATCCCAGATTAATAACATAAAACTCAACTCAGTTCTACACACATCAATCTGGCTAATGCCAGGTTAGAGTTGACCATCACCTTGTGGAGATGTTTTAGGTTTTGCCTCTAGAGAAGCCTTGAAGCCTCTAAAATCAGAAAAACAATGCGTCTCCTGTCCAGAGCCATACATAAATGTACAAAGGAAATTAGAGGTCCAGTTCTCAAATAAAGGGTTATAGAAAAAAATTATATATCATCTGACTCTTCTTACTAGAATAATTACAAATCAGCAATAATTCACTGCAATGAATCTCAATTATTTTGCTGTCCCTATTTATCTTTCAAATTCCTTTTACTGATAACAATGTTTCCCTCAACACTGCTGGCGATCATACGGCCCCAAGCAGCATTTTATAAATGTTAACGCATTAGAGTTCAACAGTGGTAACAGCAATCAGAAAGACTATTGTTGACCTTATACTGTAGGCACTGTCATAGAGTCTTATAATGAGCAACCAGACAAGCAAACAATGTAACTAGGTAGGAGATATTATACCATGAAGATATGTTTTAGAAACAGAGAATATCTAATCTGGCCAAATTCTATAATGATCACATAAATTTGCTAGCTTTTCAGAACCACAAGTAAGGTGACAGCTCAGGTGGATTTCTAAACATCTGTAAGATAAAAGAGAGTTTGTAACTTGAAAACAACAAACTTTTGATTGAGATAAATGTCTCTTAGATAAGTAAAAGTGTCAATTAACAAAGAATAAATACTTTGTTACCCTCCTTAAGTAGAAATAGTAGCAAACTATGCTTTACTTGAGTCATTTTTTAAGACAACTTTTTACTTCTACTCCTTTATTTTATTTTTTTTTTTGCAATTATCTCTACTTTCTAGTCCTTACATCAAAAATAGTCTCATTAGTTTTTTTTTTTTTTTTCATTTAAGCTCATTCTCAATATGAACTGTTGGTATTTAAAAAAATAAAATAAAATCATCAAAATAATTTGTTTCATCCAGACAATTCATTTCTTTATGGTTGGACTCGGTACTGCATTAAAATAAGTAATTGTTCAAGAATATGCAAAGTTAAATTTGATACTGTTACCGTTACTCATAAAACTAAGAAACTTAAGTATAAGAAAGTTATCATCCAGAATTGGAAATTAACAAAGTAATGCCGGACTTTTCCTGCATTACTTTTACTTTTATAATTTAAGTAGTTAAGTTCCAATTCTGGATGAAAAGTAAAAAAATTAACTTTTATACATTTACTTTAGTAAAAAGCTTAAGTTGATACTCTAAGTTCTACAAAAGTGTTTTTAAACAGTAAGATTTATACTTCTACTTGATTAATAAACATTTTTACTTTCGACCCCTCTGACATTTAGATGATTTAAAAAAAAAATATATTTATATATATATATATATATATATATATATATATATATATATATATATATATAAAAATGCTGATGATCTGTATTTAGTGTAGCTGGTTTTTAACTATGTACTTTTTTAAACACTTCACCAAAGATACAGTGCCATCATCCTCTACAACCATGAGTCTAAGTGATTAAGCATAAGAAGGTCATCGATGTACATCAGGGAGAACCGTGGTCCCAAAGATGATTTTCTTCCAATTTTTACACTCTGATCTCTGTCTGTTAAAAATTAATACAATATTTCAATTGCACTGTCAATAAAGTTGACAGTGTGCAGGATGAATATTATCTTTTTAGGAAAAAAAAGGGTTTATCCTGTCTTTTTTCTGTAATTAAAATGTTTACAACATGATAAAATTGGTTAATTATGTACTAATAGAAAGGCAAGAAAATATCTTCTCTGCAGGAGCTGAATATAACTTTATGTTATGCTTAGTTTTAGCCATGATGAGATTTTGCTGCTATTGGACACTGAACGTTATGTTTCTTGTCTTTTTTTTTTTTTTATGCTTCTTTTCACAATGTAACTCTAAATATTAGAGTTTAACGTCACAGTACACAGATCAGGTTACATGTAATAGACAAGACATAGAATGCATCATTGTAAGGATTAAAGGAAGAAAAAAAACGTCCAAGATGTGTTATGTCTAATCAACATATAAATAGTCAATGCAAAATGTCCACAGCTTATCGTTTTGCAAACATTGAATGCCAAAATGAGGTGTGATTTCTTTTTGTACTTTTCCACAACAATGTTTGCCTAAGTTGCTGTACAGGCACATCTAATTACAGAACAGTACAACATTAGATATCAGGCACTGAGTTCAGTTAGGGACTCACATTTTTAGTTTTAGGTTTTTTGAGCACTGAAGTTAGAATCTTCTGAAGATAGGCTAAGATTTTACTCCTGCCAACATCTACCAAGTGTTCAATTCAATAATATTGATGTTTAACAATTGCCACCAGCTTGTGGCATCATATGCTTAGCTTCTGTTGCTTTTTAATCCCCCAACCCACAAAGACCGTACATATCTATGAAAAAAAAAATATTTTGCCAAGTGAAAACCCAAAACATAAGGATAAAACCTTTATTTTTAGTTTTTTACAGAACCATCAAAAATAATTCACACACAAGTTCTAATAGTAAAAATATTGCACAGTTAGTTTGTGGCAATTCACAGAATCACTAAGGAACTATGTGTTCATTCTTTTTGTTAAGCAACATTTTCAAGTAACAAAAATTAAATCCAATGTGCTAATTGTTGAGCCATCTCTTCACATAGGGAAGTTAAAATAATACCAGCAGCATTCTTTATTACTGAAATTGAAATTAGACCAAATGAATCAAACCTTTTGTAATAAATTTATTTTAGTAGAGTTTAATAATATATATATATATTTTTTTCCTTTTTTTCTTTTAGGGAGTCTGGCCGGGGGCAGCAGCAGCTCTAGCAGTGGAGTGGGTGGCTGTGTGGGCAGCAGTAAAGAGGACAACAGTCCCATAGTACTGGACAACCCAGCCGCTTTTCCCCATGAGGAGAACCTCGGTTTGGAGATCATCCGAGAGGAGTCCAACGCTCCCCTCCTGCCACCAAGGCCTCCTCCACCGGACAGCCATCCGCCCCCTCCGCCTCCTCCTCACAGCTTTTCCCGGCAGCGACGCATTGCCCAGGAGCCCAGCGAGAGCTTCTTTCCCCTGCTGACCAATGAGCACACTGACGAGCACACGCATTCACCGAACCACAGAGACTCGCTTTATACAAGCATGCCGGTTTTGACAGACCTCCCTGACGGGCAGATGAACGGCCTGACGGATGGAGAAGAGGACAGCTCTGGGGAGCTCCAGCCCTGTAAGAGTGCCACGGCTCCTGAGCTGGATGATGTATACTATAAGAGCATGCCAAACTTAGGCTCCAGGAATCACCTTCATGAGCTACAGAACTACTACCACATGGGCCGCGGTGGCAGCGATGGATATATGGTGTCAGGGAGCAAGGAGGAGTCTGATTCATCTCCAGAGGAGCCACCAGTGGACCCTTCTCATCTGGTCACCAGTCTATAGAGCCCACTGAGTCCTGTATCCATCCTGAACCCAGTTTGACTTTTTCAAAGTTCATGTAAAATCATTATGTGTTGCTGACTGACAGACAGAGCTGGCCCGGTCCTGGATTGATACACTGTTTGAAATAACAATGGGTCATGACAATATGGCTGAGATTCTACTGGTCCATTCAGAAAATGTGTTGTCATAAATAGTGCAAACTGAAAGAGATGGGTCATCAAAATAATCTGCAAGCATCAAACAGGAATGGGAAGGATAGACTTGGAGCACGGTGGGATTCTGCAATTCTAACGCAACTGCGGCTTTAATTTGGAATCTTGGACTGATTGTAATCCTGCAGGCTCCTCCCCCAGTATGGACCTCTAGCAGATTCTAGCAAATAGTCTCCACTCACACCTCTACTTGGGCCCAAGCCCTGGTTATTGGAGCTCTGTGTCTGTCTGTGTATCTGTCTCTCCGTCAAAACTCTTATGCTGAAATGGTAGAGCAGAACCTTCAAAGATAAACTGTCCCAAAGGTGGCATCACATTCCTGCCAGTCGAGTGAAGGATGTATTATATATGCCCTCACTGATGATCATCCACGAAAAAACCCATATCATTCTGGCAGTTCAACTGCACCCATATCACAAGGATATTCTGAACTTACTTTCTGTTGGTATCTGCTAAAACTGGAGATGTTTACGGGCCGGTATGTCTACGGAAAACAAAGAGGGAATATAATGTAACAAATGAATTAACTATGGGGAAAAAAAGGGTTTATCTATTCTCCGCTCCTCTGTAAAGGTTTTTCATCACCAGAAGGATTGCGAGGAACCACAAACTGTTTATGTATTGTACAGAATAAAATAACAGATACAGACGTTGCGATTCTTTTATTTTTGGATTTTACGTTGCAAACTTTGTGTCTCTGGGACTGTTCAGAAGTGTCACAATGAAATATATTCCGGTCACGGACTGACCTCAGAGGGAGCAAGGAAAAATCTTTTTGTGTCATTTTTTTCGTAAATATGACAAGCACTCCTTAATTAATATGCATTTAACCTACGCACACAGCATTCTGGTTATTTTATAGCAACAGCACTGTCACATTTTTGCAAATCATTTCTTACTGTATGCTTTACCACTGTGTACAACTGTGTTAAACTGGATGGATAAAATGAGGTGATAAAGGAAGAGATACCTTTAGGAGAGCTGGGTTTCTGGTCAAGGAGTCTGGACTGGAAGTACAAAGATGGACCTAATAGACAGAGATAGTCACATTAGACTGCTTTATAAAATATGTCATTTTTATTGCCAAGTTATTTTAACTTACATTCATTGCTTCCCTGTTTAAAATGAAGAAACAGCTGTTCTCTAATCTACTGTAAAAACAGGTGAGGTGTGACGATTCTGATTAGAACGTGCACATGACAGCTCTCCAAAAACCGAGAAAGCCAATGTTTACTAATTAAGGAGGAAATAAATCTTACAAATGTATGAAGTGTAGCTTGCACACATGTCCCACAAACGCCCCTTCATTCCCCCCAAGAGAGAAATTATTTATTTATCTGTTTATTGGTTTAAAGACTGCAAAAGAAGCTCAGAGGGAAGGAGGCTGGCTTCAGGGAAGGAAGGATTTAATGTGGCACTGGGCTTGTTTGTTTTTTTTTAAGTTATTACAATTATGATTATCATTACAATATTACTGATAATTATTTATTCTTTTTGTATGGGTTCCAAGTTGAATGATCTCATAACTAATATTTGTTGTAACAGTGAAAGTTGTTTGCCAACAAATAAATTACTGACATAGCTTTGAGTTTCTTTGTCTTGAGCCATTTTATATCTTACTTTTATTTAGATTATATCTAATGCTAAGTTTTTACAAACAAATCAGGGTTTTGCTTCTTTTTGATTTATATTGGGGAGGCATGCATGACAATTTTTTTGGGTCAACACTGTAACCAAGAAGACAAGTTGCAACGTACATTTGGAATTAAATGCTACAATTTTTCAGCTTTAGCTTATGTAAGCCTGTATCTCTCAAAAGCCTTTGTGTGCTTTAAATAAGTGTGCCCTATGGCAAGACATAATCAGATTAAGCAACTTATTCTGGAAGCAATTTCAGTCCTGGAGGTATGATGCATGCACCAGATTTGCATTGTATAACACCTATTTATAAATTATTTACTTATGGGGGAAGGAATGTATAAAAATAAAAAGGGGGGAGAAATTGAGATAGAAGGTCGAAGGATGCAGCCAAGAAGTCTTTACATGTTGACAAGAGACGATGTAATGAATAAAACACAGAAGATAGGAGCCAGTGCATAACATATGACGGCCGTGCAGGAAGAAAGTTAAAGTCTCTAGCGTTCTTGTGAGTTCAGCGATGCATTATAAGTGAAATCAATTGTTGAGAAAGAAGTTATAAGAAACTGAGCGGTTGCATGTTTCTGTATGTCTATATGATACCCTGTGACAGACTGATTGACTTGTTTAGGGTGTATCGTATGACTATATGATACACCCTGTCTATATGATACACCATATCATATGTATCATATAGCTTTCTGAACAAGTGTTCAGAAAGTGTTCAGGTTTTGGACAGTGAGAACAGATGATAGAGTGGTATAGGAAACTATCTTTGTGAAAAGAAAAAAGCCATCACTAAACAGAGGGGGAGGATTGCAGTTTCACCTTCCAAGCATTTAGAATTAAGTCCTGGAACTCATCAAGAAGAGATTACATACAGTAAGTACTCCCATTATGATTCAAAAGACCAACCACATACCTGTGCACAACTAAAGGCTCCAATAATCCAGAAGAACAAAGGGTGGCTATTTTATTTGCATCTGACTTGGAATGTGTGCAAGAGGATGCATCTCCATGCTGCTTAAATAGATCAGTGCTCAAACTAGAGATTGTTTTGATGCGAGCCAGGTGAACTGACAAAGACTCCTGGATAGGTGTCGAAACAACTTCAAAAAACTCAGCAAAAGTTCAGTTGCCTTCCAATTTAAGCCATGGAAAGAAATGTATCGGTATCCCATCCATAAGCTTTGTACCTTGAGGCTAATGCTGTACTTACACCTGCCTCATTTGGTCCAATTTAAATGGTTAAGAGTTCATTTTCCATTGGTTTCTTCCCACTTTCCAACCCTTTTCCACGGGTGTAAATACCAGGACAAGCAAGCCTTGGTCCAGGTCAAACAACAAGACCACTTTTATGGTGTTCTTGGTCTGCCTCCAAACTCACTCTGGTGCAGTTCACTTCTGGTGTGAGTATGAACTGACCTCAACATGATCCAGCTGTAAAAAAACCCCTTGGACTTAACAAGCTACCTAAGCAATGAACAAAGTACTAAAATCATACCTGATCCGCCTTCTGTTGCTTAGCAACACTGCTGTCAGCATGCCGTAAGTCCCCCATGGCCTGAAGAATGCATTCTTTGACGCTTTTCTAAAATTAGAATTAAAATGTCTCGAAACCTGCATTGAATGAGCTACTCTCAGCACAATGTTTCTGCAGCTATGATAACAGCACAAATACGCAAATACATTTATTTTCTTCTAATTTTCTGGGTCTATACTTTGTCTCAACAGTCATGTGTGTCCAGTGGGGGCAAAGTTCATCTAACATGTGGCTTTGTTATAAGTTATAGTTCTTTTATACAAATTATTATGTAAAAGAAAACCACAAAAAAATAAATAAATCCCTTTCAGACCAAACAGAGGGACCGAAGGAATTTCCTGGAGTGAATACACCCTATGATACTTACTGTGTTATAATTCTTTACACATAAAGATATTTTTCATTAAGCTTAGTATCTTTTGCATAACAGAAAGGAAGGAGATGTAATGCTTCATGTTTTTGGATTAATTGATCAAAGGTCCATGGAAATAATTTCAATATCTTTTTAAAGTAGGTATTGTTCCCGCAATAACACTAATGCATTAAACGTGTTAGAATTAACAATGACTGATACTGTTTGAAGCAGAACATTTTTTTGTCTTGATACTGTGGTGCTATTTATATTATTGTATAGAATATTGTACCACAGGGTGCGGAGATGCCGGAGGATATGGGTCTCAAACTCAAATCCTTGAGGGTTGGGGTCCTGATGTCCTTAGATGTATCTCTGCTTCTACACACTTGACTCTAGCTCATTAGCAGAGGTTGATTGTTGCTAGTGAGGTGGTTTACCCATTTTATTCAGGGGTTTAGCACAAGGGACACATCAAAAAGTTGCATGTTACCGACCCTCAAGGAATTGAGTTTGAAACTCCTGCCTTTGGAACTCTTTTCCAGTTAGGCTGCATAATGTTCTGCTTTAAAAGCTTAAAATTTTTTTTTTGACAAACTACCTCATTTAAATTAAAAAAATTATATTGTTTTCTTTCTTTGTTTTAGAATATTGTTAAATAAGTCAACCAACGTTATATAATTTCAGTGTAAACTTTTACTGACAAAACGCAGTTCATTTCATACCAACAAGGGAATCCATTTCATATCAGCAAACAGGAACAGTACTGATTCCACATTGCACAGTTCTTGTCAGACAACCTTTTCTAATATTTTAAGTTGACATAAGTGTTTTAAAATCAACTGAAATGCATTAGTTCTTTAATACATTGTAAAAAAAAAAAAACTTTAAATTTTCACATATAATTTGAGATAACCTTCAGCAAAATCACCACTATTTTACAGCAAAACAACATTTATACTAGAATTTAAAACAAAAATGTAAAACTTGATATTACCTTTTAACCTAAAGTTTTAAATGTGAAATTTCTTTAATCAAGGCAAAATTAACCGTTAATGTTACAGCGCAATACAAGTTTATCATGCAGATATTAATCATTTACATTTTACCTCAGTTATAAGCAGGACATCAGCTTTTTATTTATTTTTTTTATCTTAATGAGAGTGATGTTGTATCTTTAGTCAGTGTTTTATGTGATAGGGAGCATGCTGCACTATCTCTGGTCTCCAATTAAATGGACTTTATTTCAAAGGAAAGAGTGTGACAGAAACTTAAAGTGGTATTGAAGCTTGAATAACTGCTAGAATAATAAACGCTGGTTCATGCCTTGTTGTGGACATCTGTTTTTAAATGTTTGGGTCTAAAGCTACTCTGCTACAGACGGTTTTTCAAACATGGTTAAACTGGCTAACAATCAGCATTTGACTCCCTACCCATCAGCAAAAAAAGCCAATAGGACCCCCAGCAGGCCAGCTACATGGTCTCTATCCCTCACCGCTGAGTTTCTGATGACGGCGCGTGACAGAAATCAGGAAAGTAAACAATGGAGAGCAACATGGGAGCAAGCCAGGGTCAGTGTGCTTTATTTTTTCGCTCTCTTATGTGTCTGGATCTCTCTCACTGGTGCTGTAGTGCTCCATGTTTATCGAATATAAACAGAGTAGTTTTGTCATACGTTACGCTGAATTCTATCACCTAATTAGCTGGGTGACCAAGGTCTGATGTTCCCACTGTATGCCTATGAAAGTTGAGCTGTTTGAAGGTGGTTCTAACCCAGATTACTTTCCAAGTCATTTGGCACAGTTCGACACAGGTCAGTGAGCTGTTCCCACTGCAACTAAAAGCTAATTGTTCCGGGGTTTAAACGTTTTTTTGGCCAGTGGGAACTTGTACTTTTGACTGTTAAATAAAAATGCTTATGTCTAAACATAAAACTCATGTACAATATGATCTATGCTGATGGGAGAGTAATAACAGCTGCAATGCCTCACTCCCGTCACATCCAAAATATATTTTTCATTTCATTTTTTTTTTAGAATCCATCAGACTAGAATAGGACACAATAGTTCAGCTTTCAGACTCTTGTCCCGTGAAAACTGTCCTCTTTATGTGGGTACAGGTCCCAAATAGGTTCTCTGAAACCCTTATAATGAATTAGAATTTCAGTAGACCTATATTGTCTACGTAATTTTCCTTCTTTTGATATTTTCCAAATCTTTTGCGAACTCTATTAGCTATTGTAAAGCTTTCTGAATGTTTCCATTCAGTAAAGTGCAGCAGTGATCAACTGTAAACAGTGTTGGAGAAAAATCCATGGTGCAAAAATGTATTTATATGGAAGTTCAGATAATTAAATATATATGGTGCAAATATGCAGTATTTTGGTTTTGTGTTATCAGTATGATGCAGAGTCTTGACATGATTTAGAATTTTCTCAACAGTTCACCCGTCTGATCGCAGTGGGGAAGAAGCTGTTGCGGAATCTGCTGGACCTGCATCGCATGCTGCGAAGCCTCTTCCCAAAGGGCACCAGGGAGAACAGTCCATGGTGCAGTTGTGAGGGGTCATTGATAATGTTACAGGCTCGTGACATGCAACGCTGGGATGAAATGTCTTTAATGGAGGGAAGATGAGCCTCGATGATCCTCTCTGCTGTTCTCACCACTTTTCTCACTTTCTTCCACTCTGAGGCGCTGCTGCCTCCACACCACACAGTGAGACAGCAAGTCAGAATGCTCTTTACGGTGTAGAAGGTTTTGAGGATGGGTCAGGGCAGCTGGGCTCTCCTCATCCTCTGCAGGAAGTACAAGCCCTTCTGACCGGTGAGGTGGTCTTTACAGTCCAGGTAAGGTTGTCTGTGATGTACACCACCAAGAATTTGGTGCTGCTGACCAACTCTACACCTAAGCTATTCATGAGCAGCCGAGCATGGCTAGGCCTGTTCTTCCTGAAGTCAACAATGATATCCTTTGTCCTCTCCACATTGAGAAACGGGCTGTTATCTCTGCACTATCCAAACAGCTGATCCACCTCCTATGTAGTCCTGTTCGTTGTC